TGTTGTGTTGGTGGGTGCGGGGGGGGGGGGGAGACAACAACACACTGCAGACAATGTTAAAATTTCTGGGTGCAGCTTGGAGCACTCTGTTCCTCACAATGATTTATAAAACTATTTATTTGCAGTAGGAATACTTTGTGTCCCAATCTCTGATCAAGTCCCTATCGTGCTAGACACTGCAAAATCACACAAAAAAAGAATCATGGAATATACAACTTAAATAGTAACACAGTATTGTCCAGTGATGCAGACAATGTTAAAATTTCTGGGTGCAGCTTGGAGCACTCTGTTCCTCACAATGATTTATAAAACTATTTATTTGCAGTAGGAATACTTTGTGTCCCAATCTCTGATCAAGTCCCTATCGTGCTAGACACTGCAAAATCACACAAAAAAAGAATCATGGAATATACAACTTAAATAGTAACACAGTATTGTCCAGTGAGGTGAAGTAGATATTGGAACAGCTTTTTGAACATCAGGAAACTTGCACTTAGATGTATTGTATAAAAAAAGTACACTTTAATCGTTTTTGCACTGCATATATTCATAACCCACAAATGGCATTCCAACCCTTCGTGATGGCATACACACTACATGTAGCCAGTGACAAAACTACAATTTTCATCCAGATGGCCTGGTTAACTTGAATGACTATGAAAATCACATTTCTTTCTGACTATTTACATGTCAATAAACAGGATCCAAGTATTGTTAATTTTTATTTCGAGATGGATCATTCAAATATTTTACATATATATCACCATATTGGGGGAAGACGTGTTGTAGATAAGCAGAGGCATTTGTTTTGTATAAAATTACTACTGACTGGATAAATCTGTTTCCTATTTACATTGTTGTATGTCTGTTGGACCCAACAACTCTAATGACACTGCTGTGTTTGTTACTGGTACTGTACTTTTAATCAACAGCATAGTAAGTATAAGCAGTAACATTTTCAAACTCAGAGTATTGACCTACAAATTGAAAATACCAAAATATGTGAGGCTTTTATTGCAGTTTATGCTTCAGGACTTGTTTTCTTACCTATCAAAAAGAACAGATACCCGTTCCATAGCCACAATAACAGACTCGCTATCTGGAGCTGTGGGATTTGTATCTGTTGCTCGACTTGGACTGATTTTCTCTTTTCCTAAGCAGAAACAAAAATTCTTATAAATTCACTATGGATTTACAGGTATCATTGAAAAAAATCATTTGTCAGTAATCTGTAAACATTTATTTTCTGAAACGCACTCTGGAATAACTAAACATTACTAAAAAGATGTACTTAAAACAGAGTATAAATAACTGAATAAAATGCACACCTGTATACATGCAGGTCAGCATTAATCCCAAGGCTGCCATAGCTCTGTGGGGACTGTGTGTGTTCACTCTGTCAACACTTAGTTTAACTAAAGATTCACTATCCAGCCTAGAAAGTTGCTCTGAAAGAAGGAGTCGTTCTAATCCTCTCAAGACGCAATGATAGATAATGGATGGAGTTGATTCATCACTTCCAGACACCATTACTCCACACATCTGAAAGAAACAAGAAAGTCTAGAAACAAGTGATTGTATTCAAATTAACACTGCGCTGATATCTTGGCATCAGATACAATAGTATGTTAATAGTTTTCATGTTGTAACAAGGAGAAGTGATTTTATCTCAATAAAATACCTTTTGGGGGAAGAGGAAAAACGGTTACTAACCTTACACTAACTTGAGTTCTTTTCTCCTGCTGAGTACTCCACTAAAGGATGGGGGGGAGGGGGAGACTGACAGGAGAATGCAAAACAACGACAGAGGGATCCATTGCTGTACAGAGCAGCACCTTGTGCCTCCAAATTAGGGCTCAGAAGATTGTCTGAACCTGCCTGCCACTAACTCAGCTCCATTTTCACTATGAAGCAAAGCCTCCACAAAGAGGAAGGAGGACTGGAGATGAAGGATCGAGAGGGACAAAACAACCTGAAAGATTCAAGTTACTGTAAGGTAAGTAACTTCTCCTTCTTCGATTATATCTCTATGGGTGGCCTGCTATAGGAGACTCTCAAGCAATAATTCAGCAACGAGGTGTGTGCTGGGAAGACAAGTTCAAGAAAGTCCAGAAGACTACATCATCAGAGACTATCTCTGGAAGTATAAGATCCCTGGAGTGTATGTAGGCAAATCTCTTGGGGGCATGAGGCTTTGACGTTAGGGAAAAAGTGAAGTTGAGGGGACACACTGTAACCTTACCTCTACAAAAGGCAGTAAATGACAGGTCTGCCATAAGAACACTGAGTGAAATGATGGCTATAAGGAACAAAGCCCTGTGGGCCAGGTGGAGGAAAAACAGGTATGTTGGTTCAAAGAGGGGTTTCTTTAGGGCACTTAGGATGAAATTAAAGTCCCACTGAGGAGTTGGGGTCTTTGAGGAAACTGGCCATACTAGGGCTTGCGAAAATTGAGAAGCCCTCAATGTTTGAGTGGAAGGTTGTGATAGTGGTCAAGTGTATTAGGACTTCAAATCCAACTGGAAATGAACCTTCTGAAGAGCAGATGCTGGGGAAGAGTGAATATAAGCACTTCCACTTCTGAAGACAAGTTTTACAAGTACTATATTTCCTATTACAGAGGGTAACTGATTGGACCTTTTCCAAACATATTAGCTCTATCTTGAAAACTATCCTGGAACCATGGAGAAAAAAATTGAGATTGATCAGGTCCTAGACTTTTGTGGCAAAAACCCTGTGACAACCATCGAAATGCCAATGAAGGATAATGATGGGAAACCCCCAGTAATGGATGGGATAAAATGCCACTTAAAGATTAACAATCAGAACATGACACTGCAAAACCCATAGATTCAAATGGTAATGTATAAGTATAAAAACAGGATGTATTGCTATGGTTCTTGGAGTTCAGTCTCACAATGCCTCAGCGCGTCAGACCGTGACCAACATAGCCAAGCTCCTCACTCATTTTCAATCTATTAAAATGATTCAAACCATGACATACTGGTAACTATAAAAACATGTGCAGTGTGTGCACGCGAACGCACTGCTTTTCTTGTTGTATTTTCAATCAACATGGCATATTGCCTTTTCCCCCGAAAAATGATCCTGTGTGCTTCTTATAAGCTGGGGTGAGGAACCTAAGGCTCCAGAGCAGCCCCTGGCTTGTCTAGATCCGGCCCCTGAAGATCAGGACTACCACCACCACTGGGGAGCCCATGCTGGTGAGGAGTGGGTTTTTTTGTTTTTCACTTGTGTGCAGCCTGAATGATTTTTCTGTGGATCAGTGGCCCCCAACCCAAAAAGGTTCCCCACCTCTGTTACAAGCATAACAATAGGAGATTTTTCCTGATACAAACTAGTTGGAAAGACATTGCCAGAGAGGTGATGGAGGTATGAGTAACTACAATTATCTTGGTCAGGATAACCCTCACTCTTTTCTGATGCAGTTTGAGAAAGACTTTGAGAATTAGTGGTAGAGACAAAGTATAGTACCTGGCCCTGGTATTATCAGAGCCCCTCCCAATCAGTTTCAGCCTTCTCTTGGAGTGGGGAAAAAAGATGACATTTCACATTGTTTACAGTGTTAAAGAAGATTGCTTTTGCATCTGCCTAAATCTGGAAAATGTCAAGACTGCAAATGAGACTTAATGCTATTATGAAAGAAATTTTGGCCGAGGGAGTCTGCAATTTTGGGATTCCTATCTTACAAGAAAAGCATCACTTCTAGAGACTGAAAACAATGCTAGAGCCCTGGAGGCTGCCAACTGGATTGCTAGAATGGAGGAGTCAATCATCCAGATAAAGGAGTAGTGCTCTGGCTGATTGCCATTCAACCTTGACCTGTAGGATGCCTTCTTTTATGTAGCTATCTACCCATCCCACAAACATTTCCTATGTTTCATAAAAGGCTCAGAATGCTGCTGGGATGGAGTCCTTTCTTTTGGGGTTCTCCATAGCCCTAGGTTCTTTACAAATATCCTTTCAGAATTGGCAGCCCATTTATGTCAATCTCCCCTGTCTAAGGATGGGATTATAACGGCTTGTGTCACCAATATGAAGTGCCAGGAAAGGGTGGAGGCACTTGGGTTTCTGATATAGAGTACTGGTCTCCATCCTGTGTCCCTCTAGGAAACAGGAATAAAACCCTCTCCTAAAGAACACTGGAGTAAGCAGTTTGATTGCCTCTAAAGTAGGAGAGACTTGCTCTCTTGTTTTAAGAACTCCCTGAAGATAAATGAGGAAGGCAGGTGAGAGGGTGGAAAAAGTATGAAAGTGTATGGGATATCCAACACTGATAAGCTCCAAGACCCATTTGTCTGAGGAAGCCTGCTTCCAGAAAGGTAGGAAGTGGGACATTTGGTGGTGGTAGGTGGAATCATGCATCACAAGGCCCAGGAAAGGTAGACTGCTTGAGCCCCTCAAGCAAGATGTAAAATAGTTTTAGAGGGATGAGCGATGTTAATATTACAGAAGAAGGTGGTCTCTTTTTGGAGAGCAAGATCTCAAAGCCTAAAGGTCTGTGAAAAGTTACCTGAGAATGGTAATGACATCAAACAGAGCACTGTGATGTTTAGGAATACACGGTTTCTTTGTTGCAGAAAAGTAAATTCTCGGAGATCTTAAAGTTAATTTCAAGTCCCTCCAGGTGCAGATGGAAAAATCTGTCAGCACTAAAGAGCATGATTCTTCAAAGGGAAGGTTTTCAAGCATATTCTGCACCTCTCTTGGGCAGCAGTAAGACTGGAGCCAGGATGCTCTAGAAACCTACAGCCATTGGACCTTCTACAGTTTCTCCACATCTTTCTTGAAATGTGGTGCTCAGAACTGGACATAATACTCTAATTGAGGCCTAATCAGTGCAGAGTAGAGCGGAAGAATGACTTCTCATGTCTTGCTCACAACATTCCTGTTAATCCATCCCAGAATCATGTTGGCTTTTTCTGCGAGTGTCATACTGTTGACTCATGTTTAATTTGTGGTTCACTATTACCCCTAAATCCCTTTCTGCAGTACTCCTTCCTAGACGGTCACTTCCCAGTCTGTATGTGTGAAATAGATTGTTTCTTTCTAAGTGGAGTATTTTGCATTGGTCCTCATAAACTTCATCCTGTTTACCTCAGATCATTTCTCTAACTTGTCCAGATCATTTTGACCCTATCCTTCAAAGCACTTGCAACCCATCCCAGTTCCGTATCATCTGTAAATTTAATAAGCATACTCTGTCACCATCTAAACTGCTGATGAAGATATTGAACAGAATTGGTCCCAAAGCAGACCCCTGTAGTACCCCACTTGTTATGCCCTTCCAGTAGGATTGTGAACTGTTAATAACTGGCTGTATAACTATTCTCAGAGTAGTTATGCATCCATCTGATAGTAGCCCCATGTAGATTGTATTTCCGTTGTTTACTGATAAGGTCATGCGAGACTCTTTCAAATGCCTATTATCTTCCAGATGTTTGCAGATGGATTCCTTATTTACTTGCTCCATTACCTTTCAAGGCACAGACTGGTCTGTAGTTTCCTGGGTTGTTCTTATTTCCCTTTTTATATTTGCTCTTTTCCAGTCTTCTGGAATCTCTCCCGACTTACCTGATTTTTCAAAGATGATCGCTAAAGGCTCAGATACCTCCTCTAGCAGGTCCTTGAGTATTCTGGGATGCATTTCATCAGGCCCAAGTGACTTGCAAGACATCCAACAAAATGAGTTTCGACTCATCAAAAGTAAAGATCTGGAGCAGATTTGTCATTTTCTTTGTTAGCTGCACCTACTGCTAGGGAATTAGGAGTGGGATGGAAAAAGAAATGCTCCATTCTGGTGGTTATGATGATGTATCTTTTAATCTGCTCACTTAAACAGGTGTGCTGGATAGTGACAAATATTTGCTAGACTGTACTAGCGAACAATAACAGAGCCTCATTGATTGGGAGTGCAATTTCCCTTCAGGGGTGATATTTATAACATGTTTTAAGGAGCCCGAAGACTCCTGAACCTCCTCTGCTGGGATCTGGGGGAATTCTGCCAAGCACTTAATGAGCTCTTCGAAGGCCCTACAGCTGTCATAAAAAAAAGGTGATGGAGGGGTTACCGCCTAATTGGAGGATGAAGAGAATTTAGCAGATGGGGTGAATTTTCCTCCATATGTGGGTCCCACTTTTCTTCAGCGTGTCCCAGTGTCAAAGGGGCTTAAGGTACTGAAGGATGTCCCCATACAGTTGGTGCCTGTGAGAGTGATGTGGTACCAACAAATATTGGAATCGCTTTTCGCTGGTAACCTATAAAATTATTCATGAAGGTGACCCCACAGATTACAGAGAGCTCACTATGGGGGAGGTTTGAGGAAGTTTCCCCTCTGCCCCCCCAAGGACATTCATTACCGCTGGATGTATGGAGTCTGGTGAGGCTAAAGGTTCCTACACAGAATGGCAGCTGGGGAGGAGAGATGATATTGGTATGGTGCTAAAAACAAGCCTACACTGAGCCAACTGAGGTTACAGGTGACTAAGTAATACCAGGGAAGGAGTTTTCATAGAAGCCCATAACACAGGGAACTCCTGTTCCTCCAGTATGAAAAGGGCCTCCAGGAGAAAAGGGTTTTGAGAATGGTCAGAGCTGTGATGGTGAACGTGATACCAGAGAGGCTTGTAGAGGAGTTTGGATCTCATAACTCCAGAGCAGAGAAGATGATAGTACTAGAGTACTGGCATGTCAATGTCTAGATGACTACATGATTTAACTGTTAAGTCTGGTCTTATCAATTAATCCTGTCAACTGCACTCATTGGGGAGGGGGAGGGAGAAGGAGGAAGGAGCCCACTTTATGCCAACTCCCCATGAGCACTATATCTGTCTCCTCACCCCTGCGCTGCTTTCTCTGATAGAGAGGCAGCAGCAGCAGAGGGTGAGGGGGGCAGATGGGAGCTGATACACCTGTAGCTGGCTCAAGGGAGCCACTACCACCCCTTGCTCCCTCCTACTGAGGCACGGGGGAGGGGCAGGCAGGAGCTGGTGCTGAAGGAAGCCAGCTTTCAAAATCAGCAGCATGGTGAGAGAGAGAGGGAGGCTGCCACGAAGCAGCCTCTGACTGCAGTGGGTCCAAGCTTGCTATGGACAGAGGCTGCTCAGCAGCAACTGGCCCTGTCCTTGAGGAGTTGAGAACCCCCCCATGGATAGGGCCCACTGCCATGAAGCAACCCCATCTGTGGGGAACTTGGACCTACCCCCCATCCCTCCTGCCAGACAGGGTCTGCTGCCACTCTGCGCTGCTGCCTCTGACAGTCAGCACTGCGGAGTAGCAGGGAGCTCTCTAGTAGTGGAGCTGGGAGTGCACTGGCTGCTGGCCCTGCCTCTAGGGACTATCAAATGATTGTGTAACCACTACAATTTGATGCAGTTAGATGACTATTCAGTCACATGCTATCTAACATCCCTACTAGAGTACTATTGGTGCTTGTGCGCATCTCAGTGCCAAGAAGTAAATGGCTTCCTATACCATCTATTAGAAGATTTCACCACATGCTGTTTCTTGCGTGGTATTGATGGCTTGGTACTGGGATAATATCAGAATCTCTACTGTTCCCCTTAAGATACAAGAAGTCTCAGTAGCATTTATGGATAACCTACCACTCTTCCTTTTTTCCTTGGTAGGGGAAAGAGGCTTCTTTTTCTAAGTCCTAGCCTCTGAAGGAGTAGATGGAGCTGCCTCAGATGTTAAGTACAGTAGGAAAAGTGGACCCCTTCTGAGCTAGTGAGTATTCCACTAGAAGGAGCTTCACAGCCTAGCCTTCCAATCTTTCTATGGCCTGTCTTTAAATGATGTCCAGACTACTACCTTTGGTGGGACTTGGGTGTCTCAGATGCAGCAGAGGTACCTTGAATGCTTCTCAAGTACACAAGAGAGACTTCTAAAGTGTTTAATCTCTAGGGTCTTGGATGTAATCTGGAGTGGAGATGGACCAAAAAGAGAGGACTGAAAGTTGAAGGGAACCTTTAGACCCATCTGCATTAAAACTAAAAGGAGAAATATAATAACTAAAACGAAAGAAAAAACTTAGAATATATCACTATGTTAAAAAAGGTAGGATGCTGAGAATCCGTGTATGCACAACGGCTGTCTAAAGCAGTATGCAGTGAAGAAGGAATGGAGCTGTGGTGAGTCCACAATATCATACATGACTTCATTTGGAGGCAAAAGGGCTTCATTTGCACACATGAGAGCCCTTGGGCAGCGCATGCAAATCCTAGGAGGTAGCACTGACAGGGATATATATGCAAAGAAGAAAACATTTCTTCCATAAAGCTTATCAATAGTAAACCACCTTCAAAGTTTTTAAAAATTATACCACTTCAAGATTACATCAATCTTCTATAGTCTGCAGCACTGTGAAATACATACCTGCATAATTCCTGCAGAGAATTCAGGCCCTACATCGAGTGGGTAATTCTCTATCAAGTAGAATGCTGCAGCACACATCACTAAAATATGCTGTTGGTTATGGACATTTAGACAGCTGTAAATAAACAAAAAAGCAAATGGTTATATCAGCAAAGAAATAGTTAAGTACTGTAACTGTGGTTCTTTGAGATGTGATGCAGACTTGTATACCAAATAAGGGTGTGTGTGCCCAGTATGCTGGACCTGAAGAATTTTGCTTATAGTACCCATAGTGTGGGGATGCATGTTCCTTTTGACCTTAGCCTCCTATTTGAAGCAGTGCCTCTGCAATCCTCCTCAATTCCTTTGCACTTAATGCCCTGTGATGAATAGGCGGGGTACTATCCTTTTTTGGACATCCCAGCCATTCAGTAAACTAAACTGCCTGTATGAGATAAACCCAGAGACAGTGGGTCCTACAGAGTCTCCAGGAAGTGTTGGCAGGGAGCCAGGAGGGCCAATGAAAACAGAGCGTGGGTATTTTAATTAAAGAGCAGGACCTTTCTACTGCAGTCTGTGTGTGACCAGAGCAGAGCTGGGAGATTTGAGTTAAGCAAGGAGCAAGGCATGGAAGTTTCAGCAGTATCCATTCCTAGGGAAGGACTAAACCTTGGAATAACAGATATGTGAGTAGAACAGGGAATATTTAGTGAGATGTGATCAGGCTATTTTCATTATTATTAGGCTTGTCGAACCTCTCTGTGCTGAACCATGTACTATTTCCTAGGGCCCAGAATGTCAACTGGATGCAAAAGATGATGGATTCTACCTGCCTGAATACTGCCTCTTATTAGCCAGTCAACCAGGCATGAATAAACTTGCACTCCTCGCCTCTTCAGGAAGGCACCACTATTGCCAGGCATTTTGTAAATACTCACAAAGTTGCTAATGTGCCAAAGAAGAATGCCACAAATTGGTAGTGCGTTTGATTTACTATGAACCCAAAGAACCTTCTGTGGCCATGGAAAATCAGTATGTGAAAATAGGCATCTCTTAAATCAAGAGCAGTGTACCAGTCCCCAGGATTTAAGAAAGGAATGGAAGCCAGAAAGACCACGTGAAACTTTCATTTGAGATAGATCTGGAGAAGATCTAGAATAACAGAATCATAGAACACTAGAACTGGAAGGGACCTTGATAGGTCATCGAGTCCAGTACCCTGCCCTCATGGCACAACTCAGTACCATCTAGCTCAGCGTTTCTTAAACTGTGTTCTGTGGCATACTGGTATGCTGCGAGGCAGTCGGAGGTGTGCTGTGGAGAACAGAATTCAAAATGGCTGCCCTTAAAGGGGCAAGCAACTTTTTTTTTTTTTTGCTCAATAACTTTCCCCTCTGACCTTGACTTTTTTGGGGGGAGAGGAGGCTCAACAAATCCTTGGTGTTCCCCATTTAAAAAATATTGTTTGGTGTTCCCCGGTCTTAAAAAAAATTAAGAAACACTGATATAGACCATCCCTGATGGATGTCTGTCTAACCTGCTCTTAAATACTTCCAGAGATGGGGATTCCACAACCTCTCTAGGTAACTTATTCCAGTGTTTATCCACCCTGACAGTTAGGAACTTTTTCCTAATGTCCAACTAAACCTTCTTTACTACAGTTTAACCCCATTGCTTCTTGTCCTATCCTCAGAGGCCAAGAAGAACAATTTTTCTCCCTCCTCCCTTTTAGATACTTGAAACCTGCTATATCATGCTCTTGCAATCTTCTCCTTTCCAAACTAAACAAGCCCAATTTTTTCAGTCTTTGTTCACAAGTCATGTTCTCTAGACCTTTAATCATTCTTGTTGCTCTTCTCTGGACCTTCTCCAATTTCTCCACATCTTTATTGAAATGTGGTGCCCAGAACTGGACACAACACTCTGAGACCTAACCAGCGCAGAGTAGAGTGGAAGAATGACTTATAAGGTCTTGCTTACAACATTCCTGTTAATGCAGCCCAGAATCATGTTTGCTTTTTTTGAAACAGCACCACACTGTTGACTCAGTTAGCTTGGGGTCCACTATGACCCCTAGATCCCTTTCTGCAGTACTCCTTCCTAGACAGTTGCTTCCCATTCTGTATGTGAGAGACTGACTGTTCCTTCCTAAGTGGAGTACTTTGCATTCGTCCTTATTAAACTTCATCATATTTACCTCAGACCATTTCTCCAATTTGTCCAGATCATTTTGAATTATGACTCTATTCTCCAAAGCAGCTGCAGTCCCTCCCAGCTTCACATCATCTGCAAACTTAATAAGTGTACTCTCTATGCAAATATCTAAATTGTCAATTAAGGTAGTAAACAGAATTGGTCCACCACTTCTTCCTTATCCATAAGATTCTTTATCCAATCAAAGAAAGCTATCAGATTGGTTTGTCATGATTTGTTCTTTACAAATCCATGCTGGCTACCACCTATCACCTTATTATCTTCCAGGTGTTTGCAGATGAAATCCTTAATTACTTGCTCCATATCTTTCCTGGCACAGAAGTTAAACTGACTGGTCTAAAGTTTCCTGGGTTGTTCTTATTTCCCTTTTTATAGATGGGCACTATATTTGCCCTTTTCCTATCTTCTGGACTCTCCTGTCTTCCATGATTTTTCAAAGATGATAGCCAAAGGCTCAGATACCTCCTCTATCAGCTCCTTGAGTATTCTAGGATGCACTTCATCAGGCCCTGGTGACTTGAAGACATCTAACTTTTCTAAGTGATTTTTATCTTGTTCTTTTTTATTTTATCTTCCAAACCTACTTCCTTCCCACTAGCATTCACTATGTTAGGCATTCCTTGATCATCAGACTTCTTCGTGAAGACCAAAACAAAGATGTCATTAAGCACCTCTGCCATTTCCAAGTTTCCTGTTACTGTTTCTCCTGAGCAGTGGGCCTACCCTGTCCTTGGTCTTCCTCTTGCTTCTAATATATTTATACAATGTCTTCTTGTTTCCCTTTGTGTCTGTAGCTGTTTGAGCTCATTTTGTGCCTTTGCCTTTCTAATATCTTGCCCCTGCATACCTGTATTGTTTGCTTATATTCATCCTTTGTAATTTGTCCTTTTTTCCACTTTATTTTTAGATCATGCAAGATCTCCTGGTTAAACTAAGGTGGTCTTTTGGCTAATTTCTATCTTTCCTATGCAGTGGAATAACTTGCTTTTGGGTCCTTAATAATGTCTCTTTGAAAAACCTGCCAACACTCTTGTTGTTTTTCCCCTTAGCCTTGCTTCCCATGGGACCTTATGTACCAGCTCTCTGAGCTTACCAAAATCTGCCTTCCTGAAATCCACTGTCTCCATTTTGCTCTTCTCCCTTCTACCATTCCTTATATGATGAACGCTATGATTTCATGATCACTTTCACCCAAGCTGCCTTCCACTTGAAAATTCTCAATCAGTTCCTCCCTATTTGTTAAAATTGAATCTAGCACAGCTTCCCCCCAGTAGCTTTTTTAACCTGAAATAATAACTGGTCTTCAATGCAGTTCAAGAACTTATTGGATAGTCTGTGCCCCGCTGTATTAGTTGCCCAGCATATGTCTAGATACTTGAAAGCCCATCACTACCAAATCCTGTACTTGATTTTGTTGTTTTAAAAAAAGCCTCATCCACCTCTTCCACCTGTGTAGGTGGCCTGTAGTAGACCCCCTAGCATGACATCACCCTTGTTTTTTACCTCTTTTAGCCTAACCCCGAAACTCTCAACACATCTGTCTCCTACGTCCATCTCCACCTCAGTCCAAGTGTATACATTTTTAACGTATAAGGCAACACCTCCTCCTTTTCCCCCGCGCCTATCCTTTCTGAGTAAGCAGTACCCTTCTATACCAATATTCCAATTGTGTGTATTATCCCACCAATCTCTGATACCAACAATGTCATAGTTGTATTTATTAGCACTTCAAGTTCTTCCTGCTTATTACGCATACTTCTTGCATTTATATATTGGCATCTAAGGTACTGAGTTGATCTTGCCTTCCAGTTCTGCCTTGTCCCTCCTTTTTCTTTGCTATTATAGCCCAGGCTCCCTCCCATTTACGACCCATCTCCCAGGTCTCCATATTCTTCACTTACACCTAGAATAGGTCTGAGAACAGCCTTGGTCTTTGGGATTAGGAAATGAGACTAGAACTCAACCTGCCTTAAATTTTGTGGAACCTCTTCCATGACTCCAAGCCAAATGAAAGATTGAAGCTCTTGGGTTGGAAGACACTTGGTAAAAGGGTCCCTGAAGAGATGAAATTAGGGAAGGTGAAAAGGTGTAGAATTCAACTTCCACCATGTATAGCACCCAATGTAGTGTGGTAGTGTAGTTCTTAGTGATACTGGACCACGGATGGATGAAGTGCGATACACAGTACACAAATAAAAGGGGGAAAATAGGATTTGAAAATAATCCAACATTATCTAGCATGTCATCAAAAGGCCTGCTTATAATAGGCTCCTTGTTGTTTAGGTGGAACAATCATTGATGCTTAGGTAGAAGAGGGCTCGAGTGTATGCATAAGGACCCTGCCCCATCTCCTCTCAGAGGCCTGGTGGCTAGTGAGGCAACGTATTAGGACTACTGATGTCTGTAGTACTTCCTTAAAGTCACTGGTGTATACAATCCCAGGAAGTTAAAGGTCACACTAGAGTCCTTTTTTCCATGAAGTTTCTCAGTCTATCCACAGAGCAACGTCTGACGAGTCTCCTATAGCCAAAATGTACACCAGACTATGAGAGGTCTCTTACTACCATCACCAGTATACACAGATTTTGGGCCACCATCTATCTTTGGCAGCCTGGTGGGCCTTATAGTCCTTTTGGGGTGGCAACACTCCTGCTCCTAACACAACTTCCCCATGAGAAGAGACAGCAGTGGAGGAAAAGGAGGTACTGTCTGAAGGTACTCTTCTTCTCTTTCTGCACCATCTGGATTCCAGGAGCTAGTTCCTGAAATTTGGCACCGGGCTCAGTACCAGAGTGTGGATCAAATACTGCCAGATGGGACAGCGGTGCTCTTCTTCCAGAAACCACCCAACAGGAGTGCCTCAAAAAGGACCACCACATGGGCATAGGTTCTCCAGTGACTATTAGGCCAAGCATTTGATGGCACTCCTGAATCTGAAGTAGAGTACAGATGACTGCAGGAGCAGCAGTGACTCAGATTATAGTATAACCCAACCTCTGACTCAGATGACGAAAAGTCTATCTGGTAACCATGGAGAAGTTGTTTCTACTTGTGCGTCTCTTCTGGAGAGCAGTGCTATAGTGGAGAAGCCTATGTTGGGGCCAGCAAGGTCAGTTTCCTTTTAGACAGTACCTAGAGGCCAGGCACTGAATGGTAACTTGTGGCTAAAAGCTGTTTCTTGTCTGCTGGTTCCAATACCCCAGATCTTGCATTGTCAATGATGCAGTTCCAACAGCAATAGCAGATACCTGGTGGCAGCAAGTGCATCTAGCATGGATGGCATCACAATAACACTGGTACCATACTATCGCTCCGGTGCTGATGATTCCAGAGTCAATGGTGCAGACCACTGCACTGTCAAGGTAGAAGATTGGTCTGGCTTAGGTTGCACTCTGCTCTACTTCACATGGCTGTCATATATAGCAGTTGGAAAATGTCCCATCCTAGCTGGTAGCTTCTTCTGTCTGTTCCTCAGCACTGGGGATGGGAACAGTGCTGGGAATCCTACAAGGAACAAGGAGTGCTTCACTGATGTTGAGTGTTTGATACGGAATCTGACTGGCTTGACTCAAAGGAAGTTTTCAACCTGGCCTCCAGGTCTTTCTTTGTATGGGGCTTAAAAATCCCTGCAAATCCGGCAGCAGTCCCCAACATGAGCCTCACTCAAGTACCTCAGGGTTGCTCAGGGACACTGTCTGGTAGCAGGAGACACAAGGCTTGAAACCCAGTGACTGAGGCATGGCACAGCAACAGGTAAGGACAAAACTCTATACAATTCAGTTAGCAAACTGACAAAAAACCATACCACTATATACAATATCAGAGGAAACAGACCATTGAGAATGCTTGACAAAGCAAGAGGAAGAGTTCCAGTGACGATCACAGGAGCTAAGAAGGAACTGAGGTGACACGGGATCATATAGGCCCTTTATCCTGATACCATGATCACATGGCACCAGGGGGCACTCCATACACCTTGAAGGGTACCAGTGAAGACATTTTTTCTGGTAATTGTGCTCAGAGACAACACACACCCACACTGGAATGGCTTTGAGCAAGCACAGGGGTCTGTGGATGATGGGTTGAAAATGATTGCTTTTTTGTATTTAAATAAGGGAAGATTTTGTAACAGCCTACTGAACTATTAAACACGGATTTTTTTCCTCTTCCTTCCAGCAGGTCATTTCTGCAAATTAAAGATGAAGACAGTAGCAAGGGACACGAGTAAGTGTCAACTACTATTATAATTCTCATTTGCAGACTGTTAAATTAAAAAATGTTTGTCTATCCACTCACCAATGTTCACATTAAAATAAGAATTGACTATTCATCTCAATCTTGAAAACAACTACTTTTCTGAGGTTCAAAATTGAAATCAAGCTTTTTGCTCTTTTCAGATGAAATCAGAACCAGAAATAGTAACATGGCAGAAATGTAATCAATCTATTCTCAGACCTGGATCCTTAAAAATCTCTTCAAAAAGCTTCTTTGCATGATTGAGAGATTTGGACAAATCAGAATACTTCTTGATGTTTCTTCTACAGTTCCAAATGTTGCTTGCATTAAAATACTCTAAAATTTTAAACACTCACTGTGCTATCCCTCTCAGATTGGAAAGCAAATACTCGCAGATAATTGGAATGAGTTGCTTTGCTGTTTCATCAAGCAAGTCGCATTCCAGCACATAGAGAATTCCATGCAGAGCTCCAATCCGACTTGGCATATGGGTGCTGCGTAGTGTTGATTCCAACAAACGACTTACTGGCTCAGCTACAGCTTTATCCTAATGCACATAAACAAAACCATGAACTGAAAGCATTACTGGACTATTGTACCATTCTCATGGCTGCAAAAATTTGTTAAATAAAGAGCAGAAAATGTACATGAATCAGAGGTTTACATGAAACAACACTTAGTAAATTATTCAATCATGTAAGAGACATGTGAACAAGTTGGCAAACTGATATATTTAGCTTGCAAATTTAATTAAATTAAAAACATTGCATCTCATTCCCAATATAAAAGCATCTTAACCCAAAGAGATCACATTATTAAATAAGTGCAAGTATTTTATCAACTTTTGCAAGTTAAATGGTAAACCACTGAACCAAGATAACAAATGTTGTCAGACTTTTTCTGTCATCATATGTCCTAGTTTAGGGGGAAGCAAATTAGTATTATACTAATACTGATAGGTAAGGGAAGCCATTTATGCAGTGTAAGATTTTACACAGTAAGCATCCTTATATGTAGGCCTGAGCATCTAGAATTTTTTCATCTGTCAATGGTCCTCCAAACTATGTATGTGAGGAAGAATGCTATTATATGAAAGAGACTGTTGTGTGCCCAAAGTCTGCAAATAAGTAGGGGCTTACCAAATTCACTGGAATGAAAAATATGTCACAGACCATGAAATCTGGTGGACCCCCCTGGCCTTGTGTTTCTAACCTATAATATAGAAATTTCACAGGGGAGACCAAATTTGGGTTCTTCCTAAAAGGGAACTGCAAGGAGTTGCAACGTCAGAGGTGTCACAATATTTCCATTTGCAAAAGCGGCGAGGAGTCCTGTGGCACCTTATAGACTAACCGAAGTATTGGAGCATAAGCTTTCGTGGGCAAAGACAAAAAAGCTTATGCTTCAACACTTCAGTTAATATTTCCATTCTTACTTCTGTGCTGCCTACAGAGCTGGATGACTGGAGAGAGACGGCCGTCGGCCAGGTACCCAATTCTGAAGGCAGCACTGCCCACAGTAGTGCAGAAGTAAGGGTTGGTAATACCATACCATGCCATCCTTACTCCTACAATGCTGCCTTCCAAGCTGGGTGGCCAGTGAGTGGCAGCTACTAGGAGCACAGATCTGCGAAGTTTCACAGTTTAAGTCGAGAAGGGAACATCAGATCATCTAGGCTAATCTTTCAAGTCACAGAGCCCTACATTTCATCCAGTTACTCCAATATTGAGCCCAAAAACCTATGTTTCACTACAGCTTATCTTCCAGGAAGGCATTCTGGTCTATTTCAAGACATCAGGAGATGGAGAATCCAACCAATTTCCTTGGTTGGTTGTTCCAGTTTTCAATTTACCTTCACTGCTAAAACTGTATATCTATTTCCAATCTGAATGTCTGCCTTCATTTTCTAGATGTCTTGTTCTGCCTTTCTATGCTACATTGAAGAGTTCTTTGGTATCCAGTCTCTTCTCCCCATCAAAATACTCTGTAGAGTAATACAGTTACTTCACAATTCTCTTTCTGCTAAGCTACGTAGTTTGTGCTCTTTAAATATTTCTCTATAATTTTGTCCATCCCTCAAATCTTTTTTGTGGCTCTTTTCTACCCCTTCCCTGATTTTTCAGCGTAGTTTTAAAAATGTGAACAGTTGAACTGGATATAGAATTTCAGTCTCACCAATGCTGAATACAGAGTTTAAAAAAAAAAAAAAAAATCACATCCCTACTTCCATGTTCCATTCCCAGACATGCCACAACTTTTTAGTGACAATTTCTTACCATTCCAAGAACAGCAGCTGCTTTGCATATGGCTGGTACCAAATACTGAATGAGAATCTCATCTTCTGATGGATGTACCTTCCGCAATTCTGTCAATGTTGTGTACATCATTTCAAATTGATTCCTTTCTGTAAACAAGTCAGACACTGCCAGAAGCTGTGAATATAAAAATGGAGTAGAAAAAAAATCAATTATCAGGTCAAAAATATTAGACTGTACTTGCTTAATGTAACCACCAGCAAAATTCAACTCCTTTTATTGTAATGTGTGCTATAAAAGGCTTTAATTTTAAAGTTTCAGTAAAATGAGCCAAACGACACACTGGAACAGTCAAAGAGGAACAGTCAAAATAAAAAACAAACAAACAAATCCAAAGAACTCAAGATGGTAGAAAGACACATCCCACATTTTCAAATAAAATATTTGAAGTTTTTCTTACATTCCTTCTGAAAGCAGAGTTTAGGATTCTGTATTTCCTAAGTAACAGTAACACAAATCATCGGAAAATGCTCCCAAAGTTTCTGCTGGACTGCAGGACATTGACAGCTCAGAGTACTGTGGCAGGCTGGATCCGAATGTTTGGTGGGCTGCGTTTTGCCAGCCCTTGGTCTATGGTATCATAAAAATATCTGACTGAACTAGGGCTCTCTCCACTAATAGAGGAGACATTTTTGCACTTCTTGTTATTGACTCAATACAAATCTGTGCAAAGAGTCTCACTGATCAAACACTGACCCGATGATAGTCTCTCACAAACCATTTGTGTTCTATTAGATGACTTGAGCAGATGTTCCTGACAGAATATTCTGAAGACATGGCACATGGATTATCAACATTGGTACTTGGTGTTGGATATGCCTTTCAATAGGGTACTGACTTTCTTGCCTAGATGAATGGATTTGGCACTTCCCTCCTTATTTATGTAAAATACTACAGTTACATTGTCTATACAGGCAGTCCCCGGGTTACGTACAAGATAGGGACTGTAGGTTTGTTCTTAAGTTGAATCTGTATGTAAGTCGGAACTGGCGTCCAGATTCAGACACTGCTGAAACTGACCGCCAGTTCTGACTTACATACAGAATCAACTTAAGAACCCCAGGCGTCCCCAAGTCAGCTGCTGCTGAAACTGATCAGCAGCTGATTCCAGGAAGCCCGGGGCAGAGCAACTCTGCTGGCACCGGAGCAGCGAGAAAGCCCCGTTCGTAAGTGCGGATCCGACGTAAGTCGGATCCGCGTAAGTCGGGGACTGCCTGTATATGCAATAACATGTCACTTACTTTTGAGATATTTTCTGCAATCTGGTAGCTAAATATTTATTTAGTTTTAATTTATTTATTCTTCTTTGAAAACCATGTTCTTTCGAAATCAGTTCACCTTATCGATAATTTTAAGTTCTGCTAGTGATTAAATTTGTATCTAGTTAAAGGGATGGGGACCTATGGCCCAGGTTGGCCCCCCCCCGCCCCCCCCCCCCAGCAGACCAGGGACACGGGGAGCAGAGCCGCAGCTTAATATATTTTAATCAAAAGCATTCCGGTGGAATTAAGTTACCAAAACAGTTAAAAGATGAATCATTACATCAATGATACCACCTACAGAAGTCAGTTTTTCTATACATTAGGAAAAGCAAGTTTATAAACAAAACAATCATGAATGCCCTCAATTATGGCACAGAATTTATTTTTTAGACTTACTGATCGCACCACTTCACTAATCAGAACGACTGGTGTTCTCTTGCTAGGATTTGATGGCAATATCCACTGACTGTACAGCTCAAGCAAGAACTGAGAGCAAGAATGTATATCAACCCCAGCCCGGTGTTTCCTGCAAAGTAAAATGATCAAAGCTAACAGTCACTATATTGGTGTGTGTTTCCAAAGAAATTAGAAAAGCAATCCTTATACAGCATTCGTTTTATAAAAGGCAACATATGATACTCTGAATTAATTCAAAACATAATTATTAGCACTGGTGTGTTCAAGTAGCAAACAAACAAACAAAAATCCACGTAAGTGACCTGGAGTTAATAGGAGAGGTTGGTGGTGAAGAAGGAGCAGGCATATCACTCTCATCTTCTTCATCTTCATCCCACTCCTCTTCTCTCAATGGAGTGATGTTATTTCCTAGCCACACGGAGTGTATAGAAACCTTAAATATCAGAAAACATAAACTTGAAAAATATTTAGCTTTTTTATAATCAAGATAGAAGTTGCTAGGGGAAAAAAAGCTACCATTTTTCTATTTGAAAAAGGTAAGCAAAAACACTGTACAGTATCTCAAAATAGGTTTATATAAGCTTTATACTGTTAATTTGTATAATACATTATGTTGCATATGTGGTGTGCTTATACAGTTGCAATAACATTATGTGGTGCACCCTGTCAGGTCACTAAAAATATTAAACTGGTTTCTCAAAATATATGACACAATGAGTTTACAGGCAATAAATCACGTCACAACACATACAAGTGCACTAACACAGGCCATTCCTGTTCTCCAATTCCCCCCCAGCACCCTATCCCCCAAGGAACACAGCCTCAGGATTACCATGGGAGTCAGGCGTGGGGTGGCAGCAGTGTACTAGCCCACTACACCCTCCCCACAGCTGCAGAAAACATGATGAAGCGAAGTGAGTGTGCCTGCCAAGTGCACTCTGATTCCTGTGGCTCCTGCTGTTACAAGAAGTGTGGAGGTGCCGACCACATCCTCCGCAGGCAGGATGTCATGGGGGGAGAGGAAGGAGTGGGGCTTGGGGAGCGGGAACAGACAGGCCCCGGTCCACCGGGACGCCCAGGCTGGATTGTGCTCCTGCCAGAGATGGCCCACGGGCCAGGAGTTTGAGACTGCTGCATTAAGATATAGCCATAGTAAACTATATTTTGACTGGGAACCAATATATATAGGAGCAAGACCCAACCCTGAATTCTCTAGCCAAAAATACTTTCAAAAATACTTTGTTCGTTTATATTCGTGTGTCAAAATAGAAACAATTTAGAAGTGCTAATACTTTGAAATTAAAGAAGACAAGGGAAGGTTAGTGATAGCTGCTTCTATTGCCATCTGCAAAAGTTAAGAAATTTGAGTAGGTTTAGCCAATTGCAGCTCCTATACTAATTGCATGAAAAAAAAACTCGTAAAGAAAAAGAATTGGAAGGTCAGAGTTTGAATAATTATACATTTAAAACGGTCAAGGCTCAAGTAATATGTGGCATTAGAATACTTCTGCTAAGATTGTATATATAGATATATATATATATATATTGCATATGCGAGACATTGCTGCCTTCCCTTAGATATGTCTGGAGAAAGGGAAAAAACAAATCAGCATAAAACCCTGGTATCATTCCACAGGGTTTTGTGGGAACATTGGAATGTGTGTGAATCCCATCAAGTCTGCTTGCATGGATTTTGCACCCTCATTTTTGGGGCTAAACAAATCCCTAAAAATGCCAGTTAGTTTAAATGGCCTCTCTGTCGATAATGTTGGCTGAAACTATGCAAAAAGATCAGCCAAAACTCATGAACATTGGCCAGATGTTAAAGTTGGGACAAGTTGGCTGAAAGGTCAATGTACCCTTAGAAAAAATGATGAAATTTTGAGCTTTTAACAAGCCATGTTTATTTTTGTTGCAGGTTTCACTATGAATGTTTCACTCAACTCTAGAAAAACACACTTAATATAAAAGATACAAGTCTGTCCTAAATTTTCTACTATGTCATTCCTACTGATGTACAAGGTAATAGAACCCAGACATAAGAATTGTATCTGAAAATATTCTTCTTTAAATGTGATTTTTTTTAAAATCTGGATCCAGAATTTGCCATCTTCTATTCATCTACTTTATTAACTTTGGTTCTCTCAATGACAAGTCAAAATTATATTTTGAGACCAGTATCCAAAAAAGCAAGATGTGCCTTTGCTTTAGTTTTCACTGTTGAATTAATAAAATCATAAATTAGATGGATTGTTTTGTTTTTGCTGCACAAGCAATGTACAGTATAGCTTGAGGATTCAGATCAGTGGAGCAGAAAGCCTTACTGGAGCCCTGAGCAAGGTGAGAGGGACAGGCTGTTCCACCCCCCGTCCTGGAAGGGGCAGGCCTGCAGCTAAGCAGCTTTAAGTGCCACCTGAAGAGTGCTGTATCTCCCCTCCAAGCAGCCCTCAGTGCAGCCTGAAGTGAACTATGGGGCACTCTGGCAACAATTTAAAAATCCCAGGACTCTGGCCACTCAGAGGATATGTCTAGACTACATGAGGCATAAGGGATCGGTCAGCAAAGGCTTTCCTCGTCAACTGATCCGCCCCTTGACTGCCATGCTGTGCCGACGATCAGCTGAGCCGGCACAATGCGGCGGCCATTTTTATTTTAATGAAGCGGGGGATATTTAAATCCCCGCTTCACTGACTATGTCAGGTAGTCTAATTTACATGCCTCTGCCGGCGGAGGCATGTAGTCTATACATACCCAGAGCTACAAGCTCTTTTGGACAATCAGTCTCCACCCCCCCCCCCATCTGCAGGCCTAATTCAATTACATTGATTATGCAGTGTAGACTGCTGTAAAAACTTGTGTTTATAGGTAATCTAAGAAAGCTTCTCTTTACTACCCCAGAGCAGCTCCAATTTTTCTAACTTAAGTTTAAAGCAGAATTTCTCAACTACATTTTATATAAAAAGATGTCACAATTCTGACTTTTATAGCAAAATATATTTAAAAAGCAGGGATGGGTAAATACTGGCTGGCAGGCCACATCTGGTCTGCTACCGTTAGCTTCCAGGTAACCCCAACAACTGTATTTACCTGGATGGCTGCAAGTACCAGCAACTGCAGTTCCCTTTGGGCACAGATCACGTTTCCCAACCCACACTACAGGAAGTGATGTCCTGGTCCACACCACTTTCCTTCAGTCCTGTTACCTGGGAATGGCAATCCACAGTCAACAGGAGCTGCAAGCACTAGTATGTGCAGCCATGCAGCTAAATAAAGTAGCAGTGGCCCCTCAGGAGCTAAACCTGGTGAACCACCACCATGTTATTGCCCATCCCTGCTCTAAAAGAAGAGAGGGAGACCAAGTAGTTAAAAATCTTACATGAATTATAATTAGAGAAATGGTATAAGAATAGCTAAGTAGCTAATTTTTTTGTTTGGGCTTCTGATTTGGAATAAAAGGGGCACAGATGGGCAAGGGAATGAAGGAAGAAGGTAAAAAAAATCATTTGGTCATTTTAATTTTCAAGGGTGCAGAAAATAATTCTCTGCTTGTTAATCTCTGGATAAGGATGCAATTTTTTTTTTTGTTATTTTTGGGAAAGAAAGGTCAGACTAATATTAAGTTATTTAAAAAGTAAACTTAAACAACAGACTAACTCTGCTACCCCCCAAAGCTTAAGAAGTAAAGTTACTGATCATGAGCAACAAGTTCTAATTGCCAGAATATTCACAAATGTACATGATGCATTTTGGCAGGATCATATTTTAGACTGCAAGCTAAACTTAATTTCAAAACTACATGCTAGTCTAATGATCAAATAGCTTCAATTTTAAAAATTAAAGAAAATTCAACACATAAAAACCTACTCCAGAAGACAATGTATTATAATGTGTGAGGCTCAAGTGTTTGTATTTGAAAAACTGAATCTTTCTTTCAGAAGACTGTGCAATCTGTGTATAAACTGCAAAATACTGTAATACTCATCTGTCAACAAAATATTTGAAATATATCAAAGGCAGGCCATGATGAATGAGCCAATGACATATTTGAAGATTTTAAAAAGGAAATGAAATTTGAGTTCAAGAAAAGAGTCATAAAAGTTAACTTGTGAAAAAAATTATTTGTCACTCACATAGCACAACTCCCACCCTATTCCCTTACAAAAATGGAAAAAAGCCTTTCCTGGAAAAATAAACTCACCTTTTGGCAGCAATATGTTTGAACATAAGTGTGATAGATATGCCATTTTTTTGCAGTATCCCTGAGATACCTTACTGAATTAAGTTTATGTACTGTGGGGGCCAGTATATTAAATGACTGGTATATGTGTTATCATGGACGAAGAACATATACAATCTCTGGAGTAGGGAGATGTGAGACCTGGGGACTATGTTATACAATGTGCCAGGCAATAATGGACTTTTGGAACTAAAAAGTATTAAGTGGTTTTCCTGGAGACTTATCTAAGGCAACAGCTCTCAACTACGGATCCAAGGTCCGCCTGAGGGTTCGTGAGCAGGGAGTTTAGGGCAGAAAACCTATGTCCTGCTGCACGGAACCCCACCACTCATGTGAACCCTGAGCAACATACCTTTGTGGTATCTCCCTGTGACATGGGACTTGGGGCACCTGCCCTGCTTGCTACCCCCTAACACTATCCTTGCTTTTATATGCAGAAAAACAGTTGCCATAGCATAGCTGGGCTGTAGAATTTTTATTGCATGCTGGGGGGCTCTTAGACAAAGAGCTTATCTAAAGGAGATGAATGAAAATTCCTGGTTATACAAAACTCAGACTTAGGAAGCCACACTCTTAGGAAGTGAACTATTGTTTACTAATCACCTGTTCCATGAGGCCAAAATCAAATGCCCAAGCAGTATTCAGGAAAGACGGAACTATTCACAGTAGCTCTTGTTCTGAATCTGAGACAGTTATGAAATTGTAATGATGGGGATAAACGCAGTTGTGGGTTTTGAAAAACTGACTCCTACCAGAATCTGATGTTGGAATTGCAGTAACCTCTGGTAAACTTTTTTGCATGCATTTAGTTCTTTTTTTTTAAATGTGTGTTCTTTGTAATGGTGTCATCTTAAGTATAAAATGTGCTTGCATAGAAAGAGCTGCACACTAACTTGTAACTATAGCAATTACGCTGTTAATAGTTTGCAGTTGCCCTGAACTATCACAATAAATACCTAAAAACAGTAGCTTGACACAGAAGTTCCTCTCAAGTCATAACATCTGCACTGCTAGTTCTATAATATCATGTAATAAAATGTTGGGATTGTTACAAATGTAATGATTTTATTGTAGGTAAAACAGATGCCTTCCTAATGGGCAGTAATATGACATACAACAAGCTGAAATTACTTCCAACTTATAAAGGGAAAAGGAAGGGTCCTAGAGACAGACAACATAAAACTGATATTTTCCTACTGTTGGAGATACTAACTTAGGTAAATTAGAGCTTGTAACAGTGACAGTAATGTTATTTAAATTGAGTATTTGAAACGGACAAGTTTTTGCTAATGCATATGCACCATTTTTTAATGGAAAACTATTTTTCCAAAAGGGGTTTAAATTTAGTCATGGAATGAAATATATAAATTAGGAATTTAAATAGCAGAGTCATTGATAAGGTATTGTATGTGGCACTAATAAGTATTTAATGAATCCCAGGGGAGAACTTCTACTTCCTAGGTAGATTTTATTACAACTCAAAAAACCCCTCACTTGTTTTTGTTTTCAGTCAGGATCTAAGACTGTTCTTAGTTTACTAAGTCTAAATTGGACATTAAGCAATGCTTCTTAAACTGGATTTTTGAGAATAAAGACAAAAAAAGTTTAGAAGTTTGGGCTTGATGTATTAACTTGAACAAACCTGTCCTAGTTTATAGCCCATGTTTCCCATTTCTCGCTCAGTATTGATCTGCAGTAAAAGTTTTTCATGGCTGATAAGACCACCTAAAATAAAAAGACAAAGGACTTTTTAAACAAATGCCCAATAAACCTGAAAACTACTTTTTTCTACATTTGTTCAGAATAGTGTATATGGTAATTCCTGAAAAATGTTTTTCTATCACATATAAGAAAAGTTACTTTATTCAGCAAGCAGCCATCATTTCATTCACTGAAGGACTGAAGAACTATCAGTATAAATGACCATTGCACACATACCTGTGGTAGCAGGAGAAAGTGAAGGAACAGGGTCCCACGCTTGATAAAAATGGTGAGTGGCAATATTATCTCTCTTAGATATCATTGCTTGGATTTCTTGTTCCACAATTCCTCTGATAACACTTAACTTCCTCCCAAACCTAAAAGCTCAGAAGAAAGCATATTAACAGTTTAAGACGATGTTTTACCCAACATTTGCCTATAACACCAAGTATGAAAACTGTCAAGTTACTATTCTAGCTGCATATTAACTTACTTAGCTGTTTTAAACAAATCTGAAATTTTGCCCAAGCTTAGGACTCCTTCCACACTTAGCTTAAAAAAAAAAATCAACAGCTCTCATCTGGCCACTGCTTTGCAAACAAGAGATTTAACTAGATTTAAAAGGAAATGTACTCAGGTTAGTGTTTCACTTTGGGGTTTACAAAAATATAACAGACACATTTACATTATACATCATATTAATAGATGAAGTTACCATATGCATAACGCTGTATTCAAGCTTGTCAATATAAATTCGCATGCTTTCAGAACAGGTGAAATAATACCTTGTATCCAGAACTTTTAAAGCTTTATTACGAGGCTGCTGTTCCAAGCAACTAACAGCTGGATTGCCTGCAACTGGTATTGTCATTGCACTCAGCACCAAGGAGGTTATGGCTTGTACTGCAAGAACATTAATTTGGGTCCTCTCTGTGTCTTCCTGTGAAGTGAACATACTGTATTTGAAAATGAAAATTCTTAAAGATCCATCAAAACCAATGTAATATACCTCTTGATGTTACGGATGCTCTCTCAATAACTACAGGGGAAAGTAACACAAGGACTGTGGCAACTTTCCTTGTGAGCGTAGATTTTTTTCCTGACTAAAAATCTGTCAATCTCTTTATGTCATAGTTTGTATGGCTTCGCATGCTCTTTGGGAACTAAACATAATTAAAATGATTTAACCTACAATCTGATGATAGATTTTTATATTTTTTAATATTTACAGAGCTATCCACCAACTTTCACATTGTGGCTAAATTCAGATGGATCCATTCCCAAGTTTTTGTGACCACATTGTATATATTGATTAAACTGCAACAATATAATTTATCATAACCAGGTGATATACATACATTTATGCTCTTAAAGTCAATAATTACTTGTGATAAATATGAACTGTCAGAAATAGACTTGTCAAACCTTATTGAATTGTGTAAAATCTTAGGGCACATCTAAACTACATTCCTCTTTCAAAAGCCGATGAAGCCGGTAAATGAAGCCGATCAAAAAAGGTCCAGTTGGGGAAAACCCCACTTGTGGAAGATGTCCAAGGCTACATCCGCTCTGAGGGACCATTCATGCCCCTTGAAACACCTGCTGAGATAGTCTGCCAGCACGTTCTGCACCCTGGGAAGGTTAGAGGCCACCAGGTAAATGGTGTGGGTAATGCACAATTCCCACAGGAAAAAGATACTCCCGGCACAGAAGATCGGAGCCTGTTCCCCCTGCCTGTTTATATAGAATATTGCTGTTGTGATGCTGAAATGTACCTGTTTCAAAGTCGTGGCAGGAAAGCACAAAAAGTGAAGCTCTCTGGCATTGATATGCTGGGCCAAATCTGCAGGGGACCACATACCTTGAGCCTGTAGTTCCTCATCCTGTGTGAGACATCCATCACCAACTGGATGGACTGGGAAGGGTTGCTGAACGGCATCCCCACACAGACCACCTCCTCCTGCAGCCACCAGTCAAGGGACCTCAGCACATCCTTGGGCATCATCACCACCATATCCATAGGTTGAAAAGCCAGGTTATGAACCTGCTCAGCCACAGCTGGAGCAGGTGAAGCCTGAGGCTAGCATGCCACACCACATATGTAATGTTGTTGCCATGCAGACCTTCAAAGGTTCAGTCTGGGGTCTTGAGGCTTATTAGAAGGGCCTGTCACTGAGTTGGAAGAGGAACGGAGCAGCTGCCTGAGATTTCTGTTGTTCTTCTGCCCTCTCCATTTAGAAAAGTCGGACACATTGCCCTGCTGGAATGGGCTAGAGAAGGCCCTAGGAATGCCTCTGCAGGGCTGAGGTGTGGATCCCTAGGGTTTTAGGATTGCCCTAGAGTCCTTCAGCCTATGTAGGCTGGTGTCACTGCGTTCTGAGACGAGACCCGCACCCTCGAATGGCAGATCCTAGATAGAGTTCTGGACCTCTGGCAGAATACCAGAAACCTGCAGCCAGATACTCCACTGCAGAACCAGCCCAGTCGCCATGGTATGAGACGCTGTGTCTGCAGCATCCAAGGCAGCCTGTAGAGCTGCTTGGGACACAACCTTGCCCTCTTCAGACAGGGCCTTGTACTCCTACCTGGAGTCTTGGGGAAGCAGCTCTTTAAATCTGTCCATTGCTGATCAGGAATTAAAGGCATACCTGCTCAGGGGCACCTGCTGATTGGCAATCCTGAGCAGAAGAACCCCCGAAGCGTAAGCTTTGTGACCCAGAAGGTCCAACTTTTTGGCCTCCTTGTTTTTAGGCATAGGCAGGCTGACCCTGGTGCTCCCACTGGTTGGCCGCTAGTACATGATCAACCCTGGCAGAGGGTGTGAGAAGAGGTACTTGTGTCCTACCGGAGGGATGAAATACCTCTGCTCTGCCTTCTTCTCAGTAAGGGGAATGGAGGCAGGCATCTGCCAAAGGTTTTTCCAGGACCACTTGAGACAGAATTTCTGCATTAAAGATTTCCACTGTCAGGTCAGAATCCTGACACCCGCTCACACTGCACCCCCAGACTGCATGCCAACCTCTTCGGCAGGTCCTGGTGGATCCAGGAATCCATTGACAGCATGGAGAAGCCAAGCCAAGGGCCTCGTCCAGGGAGAAGTATTCCCATGTTGCAGAGTCTCAGGCGTCAGATCACCCGCAAGAGCATAAGGATAGTGCTGGGTGATCTGGAGGACTCTGGTCCCCAACAATGTTCCCTCTAATCTGCATGACAACAGCGCTTCACAGGTGATTAATCAGCTCCACCCAGTCAGTCAACTCCATGCATGGAACCTTGAGCCTCTGACTTGGCAGGGCTGATTAATCACCTGTGCTGCTGCACAGCTTAGAGGGAACATTGGTCCCCAAACCCTCCCAGTGAGGGTCTTGGGGGATTCCCTTTGGATGGAGCGTGCCTGGTCCAGTGCCAGCAATCAAGGCTGTGGTGTAACCAAAGTCAGCACCTGAGGCCCCAAGTATGAAGAGCCAACAGCAGAAAAGGGGCTTCCCTGGTAGGCTCATCGGATCCAAAAAGGCCACTGGCCCAGGTGCTGCCACTGCGGTAGCCAAGTATGCTTCACTGACTTCCCTGAAACACATTGGTGGATTGAGTGGTGTATGGAGCAGGAACAGTGCCGAGACCAGTACCAGTGCAGAGAATGGGAGCAGTGCTAGAAACAAGAGTGGGAGACCATGGCCCTGGTCCAGACAGATTCAATGCTGGAGTCTGAGGAATAATCAGATTCCGACCATGGTGGTGCCGAGGATGGGTACAGGGATCAGTGCCAAGAAGTATGGTGGACCATAGCCACCAGCTTGCCCTGGTGCCGAACAGGTGATGGTGACAGCAGGTGCTCCAATACCGCAGGCAGTGCCACTGGGATGGGGGTGCTCAATGCCGTGCTTTCCTGGGAGGCATGGGAAGTGGTTGCCACCAGCCCTGGTGCAGGAGCTGGCAGAGGCATTGCTAGGTGCAGCACAGAACCCAGCGCTATTACTGAGATCATAGTCAGTGTGAGCCTTGAAATACGCTGGGTGGACTCCAATGTAGGTGCCTCAGTGTGGATGAGAGACTGCTCTTCCATTCGATGCGCCGGTGCTGATGGCAAGGCCGGGGAGAAGGCAAGCACTATCAACTCCCTTGCCACCTCAAAGGTGTTCAGGGTTGAAGGCCGGACCACCATTAAACGATCCTCCTCAGGACTATGATCTCGTGCTCGACTGACCTCGAGATGATCCAGGAGCAGCAGGCGTAGGTAGGCGGGTCTGAGTGCCCCAAAACTAGGGGTTTACCTTCAACATGTGCCTCTGTCCACCCTCTTCTTCTTTTGAGGCACCAAAGAGACTGGGAACAGTGCTGGGCGGCAGGGCGTCTCGATACTTAAGTACTGGCTGACCCTGGTGCCTCCCACACTGAAGACGGTGCATCTGGTGTGAAGTGGAGCACCAACTCCACTGGGAGTATCTTCAGGCACGAATCTCTCTTGCGCCAAGTCGGGCGCTGGCAAATCTTACAAGTTATGGAGATCTGAGCCGCACTCAAGCGCTTCAGGCATGAATCATGAGAGTCCCCGCAGGGCATAGGCTTAAGGCAGTCCCCACAGGGCTTAAAGACTTGGGGTCCTGGTATGCCCCGGGGAAGGGGTGAGAAGAGGATACAAGTGAACCCCGACTCAACAGAAACTCTAACTAAAAAAAACAAACGCAAAAAACTTCAAAGGAACAGCTAAAACTGGGAACTTGAAAATAAAGAACTCAAACAAGGTGCTAACTAGCTGCAGATACTACTGATATCACACTTGCAAGTAAGTGAGATAGGAGCTCCAACAACATGGGTGGCAAGAAGGAACTGAGGGGGGTGGAGACCCAGCAAGGATATATATGTGCTGGTATAGCAGCACCACTCCAAGGGCTCCCCTGCTAGCCTGACAGGTAACTGCTAAGGGAAAACTCTCAAGACAATCCATGCATTCAGAGCGCACACTCATACATGGAATCGACATGAGCAATCACTTGAAGAAGAATGGTACATGCCTGGAATGGGACTGCTTCCCATGAAACCAAATAGAAAAAACAGAATCACCAGGTACATGAGAGGTCCAAGACTACCCCAATCCGAGCCTCCCACCCCTCCAAGCACCCTTTAAGGAGAAAAGGTGGCCTTATGGGGACATTGCTGGCTGTTCCCCTACATCAAGGAGCGAGGGGAAAGTGCACAGTTTTCTGCATTCCCCAAACAGAGTGAAGAGCGCTGTGGGCAGACAAACCTGGAACTGCCCCAGACGAGGGACATGTACCATCTCCCCTGGCTGTGCCTGCTGAAACTGCAGTGACCCTGGAAAGGTTTCTCTCCCCTGTCTCCAAGCTGCTGTGGTGAGTGGGCTGGGCACACTGTATTCTGAACCCTTCGACCTCACTCCCACCCATAGCAATGGTTTAATTGAAGCATGTATGTTTTCATTCTAATTTTCAAAAAAATCCCCCAAAATTAATTGAGTTTAGGACTTGAGCAATCTTCTAGTGCTACATAATTGTATTGCACTGAATGGCTTTACCTCTTGTTGATTTTCTTCTTGGTCCATTACAATTGGTTGAGTTACAAGCACTCCAAGCAGAGTGGCCCAGGTCTCTTCAAATTGGGTACGGCTAGTCCATCCTAGGAACATATTCAAAGGTAGAAGGCCATTTACTACTATAGTGTAAAAGCTAGCTTTTTTTAAAGAAATGTAGAACAGCATTTTAAAATGAGATGGTAATTTCTAACAATGTAATTTCACACTGGTGCCAATCAATTTTTTTTTATAACTGTTGCAACCTAAGTTCCTCCAATTCTATTTGAATACCTAACCTGAATTATGAAAACCCCCAATTAAACACCCTATTCAAAATTGTTTTTCAGACACAAATTTTAGTTTTCAATTTTTTAGTTTAAAAGCAATAAAACCACAATGGACAAAAATTCGAGAACATGGTTTTCATATTACATGCATACTAAAACATCCAAAATTCCCTTTTTTGTAGGGTAGAAATGCATAGTGTTCCAAATGACCATAAATATAGCTAACATTTAGTGTAAGCTCATTCCTAGAAAGAAGAGGATTCATTTGGAGCCTTTAAAAATACAATTAAAAAACCACAAAAGTATTCCAACTAGATCCCTGACTATTAAAGCTTACATGTATATAAAATATGAGAACATTGTTTAGACACCGCATACAGAGTGTTCAGTAGGATACAGACTTACATCATTTATTAAGTTTGCCAGAAAAGAGAGAAACATGTTTCCTTACAAGAGAAATAATAGCTAGAGAGCCAGAAGCCTAAAAGTGAGTTCCCTTGCTGGGCCATAGAGAAGGAAGACAGACGCAGCTGCCACAAATTGTGAACTGCTATATCAGCAGTGTGGGTGTGTAGCAGATAAAAACCAACAGATCCTTTAATACAATACAATGCATGTTATTGGCAATGCCAAAAAGTTAAAGCCCCTTATTGCTAAAATTTCATATTATAATTCTGAGCTGAATTTAGTGCTAATTAAATTATAGTAATTTATTCCTGCTCTACAATATGCACTCTCTCTCACTTCTACACAGAGATTGAAAATTCATGATGCCATCTACATGTTTTGTTAGTCTTTAAAGTGCTACCAGACTATTTATTGTTTTTTAAGTTTATCCTGTACCCCCATGAAGCTTCAAAATTGAATTGTTTGGGTGTTTTTTCATAGCACTGACATAGATGCATGTGCGCGTGCACACAGCCTCCAACCCAATTAGAAAAAGACCAGTGCATTCATTTTTATCTGGGCATTAAGCCATATTTGAACCCTGCTCACCAGAAGAGAAAGATGAAATCACTTGCATAATCATAGGCTATATTGGTTTAGTTTAATCTCTGAGTAAGATTTTCCTATTTTATTTTGAGAAGAAATCAGATATTGTACTTCATTTTTGCTTTTAAAATTAAACTTAGTTTATTTGAAGCATATATACACAAATTTTGTTTATCTTACACAAGGTAAAGTGTAAGACACCCCATTAAAAATGTCCTGACATTTCCGCAAATTTCTGTGTGTCCTCCAACACATTTGGGTAAACAGTAACAGTCTATGCTTTATCACAAACAAAAGTTGTTCCCTAATCTATGGTCTAAACGAGGGCTACTCAACATGTGGTCCGCTGCCCATTTGTTTGCAGCCCGTAGTGCAGTTTTGGTTTACAGAGGACTCAACACGCGACCCTGCGGGTGGGAGCCAAAACAAAAAAGCAGTCAATATAATGGTCTTCTGTTGATATGTGTTTTAGTAGTTAAATTCCTGGACTGTCTTTGCTCATTAAAAGTACTGTCATGGGGTGGAAATCGAGTAAATATTACATTTTATGAATAGCAGCAGAACTGACTTAAATAGGGCCTGTGTGTTGTGTAGTCTTTCCTTAATCTTCGTATTCATACCCATCAGTGTGAAAATCTATTTGCATATTTGCATGTACATGCAACCACACTTAAGTTGAGGCCCTCGGCATTGTGGCCTCCGGGGCTTCCAAAGTTGAGTAGCCCTGTTCTAAACTATGAATTTACATACTTCTGATTGCTAGAAATATAAGCATTCAAAAGAGCTATACAAATGTTGTCTACCTACCCAGTGTATTAATGCGATAGATGAACTCTTTAAAAATTTCTTTTTCCTGAAGAAATTCTACAGGGATTTCTGGAAATGCTGCGCCAAAATCACCTGCAGGTTTTGGTGACCAGCCTAGTTTCCAGACCTGTTGGAATATAAAAAAAGAGTACTAGTTGTAAAGATAACCACACTATGCAAAAATGAATCCGTGAAATTATTCTAAATTCCAACAGTAATTGTGTGTGTTTACTATATATCTGACAATTTTTCACAGTATTTTTTTAAACACAATCTTCTATTAACTCAATGAAAATTGTTCAACTCTGCCAATACTGTAACAAAAATAAGTGAATAATGTTGTTACTAAAGTGTTTAAACTTTTTCTTTTTTACCATTTCTAGTAGCAGTCTTATTATACTTCTTCCTCTTTACTGGAAGTTGCCAGAGAGGAAAACATTTGGTAAATAAAAAAGCCAAGGTTTCTTTTCTACCCCTACATTTCACTTAGAGACCACACACAACACCTCACACCAACCAGCACACCCCTCTCTCTCTCTCTCTCTCCACACTGAACTGAGGTTCAGAAGTTCTTAGATCTTGAATTTGGCCTGCCCAAGTAATAGTGCAAAGTTCTAACACTAGACCAGTGGAAAGAGGCAAAGCCTTGTCATAACCAATTCAGTTACTTGACATTTAAATGATTCCATGTTCTCCTTAAAGTCTGAACTGTGTAATTAATATATTATGCACAAAACCTTTATTTAATAGCCAGAAGCACATCTAGTGTCAGAGGATCCAAAAATCAATGCAACCTTCTTTCCAATAAGGCAGAATTTCAAAACAAGATGTTAAATTTAATAATGGAAATAAGTAAAACATCAAAGTTCCTTGTTTCATATACCAAATTATTAATATATAAAAATTTCACATTATTAATTTGGTTTACACGGGTGCCGACAATGTGCAAGATGCTTTCCAAATATAACACACTCTAAAAGATTTAAAATTATAAATCAAACCATACTCTCCCCCAATCCACCATACAAAATCATATACTTTTACAGTAAGTCCTTTAACTAGCCACTGTAAATTGACAGTACAATGTAAACACTTTGGAGGAAAGGATTTAAAGGAGAGCCTGTGGCCACACAAACCAAATTAAAGGAAGGTTTTCCATATGTAAAGGGTGGCACAAAGAAAGATTATTGTGAAAAGTGAACAAAAAACTTTTAACTCAAGAGAAAAAAAAGTGTTCTCTCAACACTTTCTCCCATCCAGGTTGTGAAACACCAGTATATGCAGATTCAGAAAAAGAGAGTTACTCACCCAGTGCAGTAACGGGGTTCTTAGAGATGTGTCCCCCCACTGGGTGCTAGTGTACCCTCATGCTGTCGACTGGAGATTTTTTAGCAGTGCCCCGCCATGCTGCACATGTGCTGTGGCGCCTCCTCACGTGTTGGTGTCCGTTAGCCCTTCATTCCTTTTCTACCCTGGCCACTGGACCAAGAAGTCTCCAAAGGAGTGGGAAGGAAGGAGTATAGTGGAGCACCCATGGGGACACACATCTCGAAGAACCCCTTACCGCTCAGGGGGAGTAACTCTCTTTTCTTCGAGTGATATCCCCGTGGGTACTCCACTACAAAGCTGTAGTCATATAGTTAAGGTGAGTTTGGAGCCTTGCCACTAACTGAGGATAGCACCGCTTATCCAACAGCCATAGATGGTGTGATGACAAAGGTCAGAGCATAACGTTTTACAAACGTATGGTCAAATGACCAGGTGGCTGCCTTGCAAATGTCCTCCAGAGACACGTTATTGAGGAAAGCCATTGTGGAGGCCACGGCTCTGGTTGAGTGAGCTGTGATGGTATCTGGCGGGTATGGCATAGCATATGTGGATTCAGTACAAGATCCACTTAGAGATTCTCTGGGAAGAGACAGCGTGGCCCTTGGAGCATTCAGCAAAGGACAGGAAGACTCTGGATGGTTTTCTCCATGGTTTCGTCTGAACTGCGTAGAACACAAGTGCTCTGCAGATGTCCAGGAAGTGCCATGTCGCTTGGGATGGATCAGCATGAGGCTTGGGGAAGAACGCAGGTAAGTATCAGTTTGTTAATATGAAAGGGAGATAGGAGCTTCTATAGGAATTTGGGGTGAGGCCAAAGGGTTACTCTGTCTTTGGTGAATATTGTGTAGGAGGAGGGTCTGCTACTAATGCTGCCAACTCCCCCACACTCCTGCTGGAAGTTATGGCTACCAGAAAGGTGACTTTCAGGGAGCAGTGTAGTCAAGCGCAAGTTGATAGAGGCTCAAAGGAAGGTTCGATTAAGCTTTTGAGGACGTCATTCAGGTCCCAGATGGGAACTTAGGCTGTACTGATAGGAAAGTATTCTGGAGATCCATAAAGAATTGTTTCGTGAGCGGGTCTGAAGAGAAAGAATTGCCATCCGCGTTTCAGTGAAAGGCTGCTATTGCTGCTGCATGCACCTTAACCGTATTGAAAGAGAGGCCCGATTCCCTTAATTCTAAAAGGTAGTCCAATATAATGGGAGTGGTGGCAGGAGACACAGGATGACTGCATTTGAGCCATTTGGAGAATCTGGTCCACTTGTAAAGGTAATTTTTTTCTGGTGGACTCGCCTCTATTGTTAATTAATATCGGTTTCACTTGTTCAGAACAGATGTTTTTGGCATTCTAGAGCCATGAAGGAGCCACGCCTGGAGGTGGAGTTTGGCTCAGGATGGAAAATACTGCCGTAATGTTGAGTGAGAAGACTGTGTAGTGGGGGAAAGCTGTATGGATCTGCTACCTCCAATCCGTGCACATAAGGGAACCACATTTGACTTGACCATGCTGGTGCAACGATGATGACGTGGGCTAATTCCATTCTGATCTTGACAATTTTGTGGAGAAAGGGAAGCGGTGGGAATGTGTAAAGAAGAGGTGTGTCCCATTTTAGAGAGAAAGCATCCCTAGAGAACCCTTCCCCACGGCTGCTCTGGAGCAATAAAAGTGGCATTTTTGGTTGGCTCTGGTTTCAAAAAGGTCTAATCCAGCTGTCCCCATCATAGGACACCTCTTTGAAAGCTTGAGTGTCTATCTCCCATTCACGATGATTGTAAAAAATATGGCTGATGGTGTCTGCCATAACATTGAGTACCCCAGGGAGATAGGTGGCTATGTATGAGAGTTGGTGTACAATGTTCCAGTTCCATAATTTCAGCACTTCTGTACAAAGGGAGGGTGACCAGGTTCCACCTTTCCGGTTAATATAGTACATGTAGGTTGTATTGTGTACTACATGGCACAGAAAGTGAAGGCAAGCATAGCACACTGCCCTGAGTTCTAGCAGATTGATGTGGAGCATTTGGTTCTTGAAGGACCATTTGCCTCGGTCATAATGGTAACTGTCAGGGTCGGCTGATGAAATGGCACACCCCACAGGACATTGTGTGGATCCATCCACCATTCCAATGAACTGAAGACACATGGTGGGACAGTGACAGTCTTGGAAAGAGGTTCCTAGAAGGGGTATAAAGTGTGGCCAACCAGGCCTGGGAGCACATAAGCCTCATGTGTAGTCTGGCCAGTCAGACCACAAATGGTGGCAGCCATGTGACCGAGAATTTTGAGGCATTCGCAGACTGTTATAGTGGTGGCAGCGTGTGCCCAAGTTATGAGGTCGTGTGGGGCCTCAAATCTGTGTGTAGGCAGCTACCCTGGCTGTGATGGTATTGATGTGTGCTCCTATAAACACGAGAGTCTGTGTGGGTTGGAGCATGGACTTTTGGTAGTTTATATAAAAGCCAAGTCAGAGTAAAAGATAGGTGGCAGCACTGACCATGTCTAGTGTTTCCTGGAAGGATGTGCCTTTTATAAGGCAGTTGTACAGGTATAGGATTATTATGATTCCCTGACAACATAGGTACATTGTAACAATGTCTAGAGTCTTGGAAAAAACTCTGGGAGATATTAGAGGCCGAAAGGGAGAACTCAATATTGATAGTGATGGTTCCCCACCATAAACTGTAGAAGCCACCTGTGGGCAGGATGTATCATTATATGGAAACATGCATCCTGAAGATCGAAAGTCAAAAGCCAATCCACTTGGTCTAGTGCTGGAATAATTATTGCTAGTGCTACCATCTTGAATCATCAGTATGTGACATACTTGTTGAGCCTTCTTAAAGCTTCTGGAGAACTACGTGGAGTAAAAACAGCTCCCTCGGAAAGCTGTTTGTACTGTCTGTATCGCACCTATTTGCAGAAGGTGGAGGACTCCTGCTGGAGGAGGATCTTGAGAGAGGTGTCCTAAAGAGGGACAGGGAGGAGGGTTCGGGGTGTTCCTGAAGAGGGACAGGGAGGAGGGTTTGGTAAGGGGAATAGAGATGAAGGGGATGGACTTTGATGAACTCTAGCACTGATCAGCCTAATGTCATTAGTGCCCATTGATGTAAAACGGGCCAGCAGCAGTGTGTGAACTGTAGCTGTCCAATTGGTGTTATAACAGTAGCAGGGACATCTTTCTGGCTCCCAACCAAGCCTCCAAATTTGTTGCTTTGATGAGGAAGGTTGAGATGTTGAAAGCTGTTGTTAGTGCTGAGGTCTGCACCGTTGGGGTCTGTTTCTGTCAGAATTCATCTCTCTTTTTTGGTCAGTATGGTTCTCTGGGCCTGTGGTAGGAGGTTTTCCTTGTCCTTTTGTTGGGGGAGTGGTGTAAATGCCCAGAGTCCAAAGGATTGTGAGCGAGTCCTTCATCAACTAAAGGACTTCATCTGTTTTGGCTGCAAATAGAGTTGAAGGGAAGGTGCTCGAATTTCTGCTGGAGGTCTCCGAGTACCCACATGTCTGGAGCCACGATGCCCTTTGCATAATGATAGCTGACGCTGTGATCTGGGCAGCTGTATCGGCCATGTCCATGGCAGATTGTAATGACGTGCGGGAGATGATGTGGCCCTCCTGCATCACATTGAGCAGTATCAGCCTCTTATGCTCCAGGAGGAATTGTAAAAGCTCCCGGAGTTTGGCCAGCATGGCAGTGTAGTTTGCTGCTCTGAGAATCAAGATCACAGAGGAATAGACCTTACGCTCCATAATATCCAACCATTTATGGTCCTCGTCCTGAGGAGTGGACTTCATACTTGGTTGTTTTTTCTTGTGCATGACCGAGTCCACTACTAAGGAATTTGGGAGAGGGTGAGCAAAAAGAAAGTCCATATCCGTGGGACTATAAAGTGTATTTGCAGTCGGCCCTTTTACTGGTGAGAGTAATGAATGCTGGGATTTGCCAGATGTTATCAGTGCGGCCCATAATGGCTTCATCCATCGGGAGGGCAATCCAGGAGGATGTAGGAGGTTGTAGTATGCGCAAGAATTAGTATTTGTCTTTTCTGTACCTCTTACAGGTCACGTTCTTGTGTCAGGGCTACTCCTTTTAAAGCTCCTGGAATTATGTGGAGTCATCGAATGAAGGTGAGGTAGTAAGAATGATGGCCTCGTCCGGCAAAGGAGGAGGAGTTATATAGAGGGGACTTATTCTCCCTTCCTGATAAGGAGTCGTCTAGCTTCATGTGAATGGGTCTGGAGAATTTAGCGCCATGGCTGATGATGTGGGTTCAGGTGACTGAGGTAGTCTTTTTATTGTTGAAGAAGCAGTGTGATGGTACCTATGAAAAGAGCAGGACTCCCAGGGATGCCATTGTCCAGTATAGGGGGTGTGGGATTCAGCCAGTGTTGTAAGTGCCAAGGCTGTGGTAGAGGTGGGTGAGAGCATCTCGAGAGGCAAGACTCCCAAGGCAAATACTGTTGAGTTGGGCTGGAATGCAGTGATCAGAAGCGGTTGTACGATTCAGTGCCAGCTTCACTCGGATAGATCGATGGGACCAATAACTTTGGGGAATGGATGGACCACACCGAGAATCATGGGGATGGTGGTGCTGACAAGCCGCAGACTAAGGTGTACTGTGCTGTGTCCATTCCGGTGGCGGTGCCAAGACTGAGTGTGCGGTACTTGGTGCCACTAGTGCTGTTGAGGACGATGCTTTGGGAGGAGGCATTTCAGTGCGGGGTCTCTTCAGTGCCACATCCGGTGCCAGCTTCAATGTGGTCTTCGACATCGATTTATGTTTGGCGTGTGCTGTGGGTTCCATCGATGCAGCCGGTTTTTGTCTGGGCTCAGAATGAGCCCTCAGGCGTGAGGGAAAAAATGAGATCAGGTATGAACAGTGAAGAAAATAAATTTTCTGAAGGGGCAGGGGGGGAGGTAGTAGGATGGGAGGGATTCAAAACTTGCAAAGGAAAGTAAAACTGAGGAGAACTGGGTTTTTTTGTTTTTTTTTAAAGGGGTGAGAGAATGGAGCTATGTCTGCAGCTGAGGACAGTAGAGAAGTAACTAAGCACGTGCCTAACGGACACCAATGTCACGAGGACGCGCCATCGCGCATGTGCGGCAGGGCACTGCTAGAAAAATCTTGGGTCACCAGCATGAGGACACACCAGCACACAGAGTGGAGCACCCCCAGGGACATCACTCAAAGAGGAACAATCTCCCTCAAAATATCTAAAAATACTTATTCTGAGTTGCATTATTAATCAAAGGATCTTAAAGTCTTTTAAAATTATTAAGAAATCTTGCAATAATTCTGAAGTATTTCTGTAGCTATTTTACAGGAGATATTAGCTATGCACAGGAAGTGCTAAATATATTGCTCACTGTCACAGTTAGTCAGCAGCAAATGTATCCCACCAGTCCTGATTTGTTACTACTAGAAGGAACTATTTCAAACAATGTCATGGAATTCTAAAAGGATCCCACAATTCTAACCAAACCATTCACTTCAAAGAAGACATTCAAATTTGAAAATACTTTTAAGTGAGGCAGGCACTAGAGATCACGCACTATTAAAAAAAATGATAAAAATGGACAACCAAATGTGAGAGCAAAGAATGAAGTTTTAGCAAAATATTATATTCATTTTATCAAAAAACTAGCCAATATTTTTCATCTGCTAAGGAAACAAACCATAATGCACCTACCAAAGGAGGTACTCTTGTATAGCTGTTTACTAGAGGCAGCCTACCCAAGCTGATGATGATGTTCTTAAGCAAAGAAGTGAGAAATGCTGGGATACTGTTGTTCCTCTTATGTCCCAGAGCCAAGACAGTTTGTAAGCACTCCACCATCTCAGCCACCATTTCACAAGCTGCTGTAATACATTTCATTTCTGAGTTGAGAGAAATACAAAGACAAAGAAGTTTAAGTGTTATTCTGAATATTCACAAAATGCATACAGATGTGAAGATAAGAGCACACAAAAACTCTAATAAGAATAGGTCTATTTCTACCAACTAAAGTGGTGCCTCAACGTCAGCTAAGCTGTATTATCACTAAGTCCTTCTCCCACACCCAAATTTGTACTCATACCCGATGCGGTGCAGAGGATGAAGTCTAAAAATGTTAAAGGTGGCACCCTTCAAATGACAAGCTAAGTGTTTTTACACTATTAATAGTTTTTACACAAATTAATAGTTTTAAAGATGCAGCTTAAGGTTCTCATAACACTTTTCATAGAGATTTCCATTAACACAAATTAAATCTGCATAGTGCCAGGCCAGGGGCAGATAACAGTTTTGCGGGGCCCAGGGCAGCATAATCTTGCAGGGCCCCCCTTTGCCACGGCGCATGCGCGGGGCTTTTTAAAGCATGAGGCCCAGGGCGGCTGCCCCGCTCGCCCTGCCGTATATCCGCCCCTGTGCCAGGCTAATCAATACAATACTACAAATGGCAGCTGGGGTCAGAATTGTATAGCTTAGAAATCCCTGGTCCTGAAGGACTGAGATCGCTGGCTGGACCAGCGGAGGTCAATTTTCAGCTCCTCTGCTCATCAACTCCAGGTTCTCTCCTGTGGTCCCTCAGGACCCAGCTGGGCTCCCTGGCACTGCCATTGGGCTCAGTTGCCAGCCCTGGACCACCAAGCCCTTATGCCCTGGCACCATGACTGGGCCCTGGGTTAGTCTTAGGCTCCACAGCCTGCTCTGGGCTCTCATATGTCTGGAACTCGGATCCAGTAACATCCTTCCAGAACAAAGATGTTGCCAGACCAGAGTGTCCCAGACCAGAGAGTTTCAACCTGTAGAGCCGTATTTCTCAACCAGTGGTATGAGTACCCTAAGGGGTACTTGAGAGAAATCTTTGGGGGGGGAGGGGGGGAGAGGAAGGGTACATCAACACAACTGAAATTTGGAGAAAACAGTATTTTTGTCTTAAGTTTTACAATGCTTTATTATTTCTGTACTTTATACAAAAATTTCATCGCCTGCCCTGCTACAATTAAGTTGTTTAAACAAATGTGTTGAAATGGTAAGAAAAAAATGTGTGTCTGAAAACTGTAGGACTGGGGGTACTTTTTTTTTTTTTTTTTTTTTTTTTAAAAGGAAGTACTTTATATAAAAAAAGGTTCAGAAAAAAAGGTTCAGAAACACTGCTGTAGAGAAATCCCAACTTCTTAACAGTGATACAAGCTTAACCACATGTTACCAAGAGTGAGAATTATTTGATAACCCTCAATTTTCTCTTGATTTAAAGTGGTAAAGAGGAAAATCTGGCAACTTTTCAACAAATTATGTAAAACTGCATATAAAGTAGAATTTCACTGTTTACTTACTTTGAGAATTTGAATCAACTTCATCCTCACTGACCCCTTTTGAAGTATTCTTTTTCCTTTCTGGACAAAGAAGCTGGTTTCCAGGTTCAATCGCAACTACATTAGATAAATACAGAGAACATTTTAAAAAGCCTATTGCAATTGTATTTCTCAATTTTAATCCTTTCCTAAAATTCACAATTATGCCAAAGTAGCACGCACTTGTATTGGCAAGATATCTGGCAAATTCAAAAAGTAAAAAAATATTTTCCATAGTAGAAATATATTTGTATACATCTGGTAAAGACAAAAATTCAAAGGACTGTTAAAATTCTGCATTTCTTCAAGATTCTTGGCATAGGATCAGAAGCATCTCCCATATTTGTGCAAATTGAACTCACCTGCTTCTATTATAAATCTGACACAATTAATTAGGGAACAAGCCTGTGTCACATACACCGCAGAAGCCAGCAAATTCCAGAGACCAGGATGTTGTAATGTTAGGCAGCAGCATTCCAAAACAGCTTGAAGATCTATACTTAGTGGAATCTGTTCATGTATTAAATGCCATGACAGTGCCTGCACAAGAAAAAGAAATATCAAATTGTCCTCTTATACAAATATATGGGCTCAAATTATTTTTATACAAATAATTACATATATTTACAGCTGCCAAGACTAGTAGGATTAATTTTTCTTATTACAGTATATTAGCATATTGATAGTTCAAAAAGTTCCAACCAGAAAAATAAGTTAAGCACTATACTGAGCAAACAACCACATTTATTCATCTTCCCAACAAGTCATACAGTGCCACTCTTCAAAATGCCAAGACCTCCCTGTCCTTACTATCTGCAAAAAGTCTTCCTTGGAGGGAAAAAAAGGCATTTTTTCTTGTTCCATATGCTCTGCTCAATTCCACCTGATGTGTATTCTATACTTAGACACAAAAGAGTAACCACTGAATGAACTAAACAACAGGCCTTGTCTCTCACAACCCGAGCATCAATCTAACCTAAGTGACTTCAACTACCTAAATAGCTGAAGTCAATGTACTTACTGCGGTGTCTTGTGCATAGTGAGGGTGCATGGTGAGGTTGACAAGGGCTGCTCTCCCATTGATGCCGGCAACTTCTCGTCCTGGTGCAGTACCAGCATCAATGGGAGAGCGCACAGAAAGATTTATTATGTTTAAGTAGACACGATAAAAATAGACAGCCAGTGGATTGCTCACTGCAAAGTCGATTGATGTCATAGTGGAGACAAGTGCAAATATTGGAAACTGATGTCTATACGTAAGCCTAGAACCCAAGAATGCTTCTAGACTTACACAACTCCCATTTACTCTTCAAAGTTAGTTAAAGGGATACAGAACATATTTGTAAACTTTCTGTTGCATCTTTTATTACTCTCACTCTCTTACCTCTAATGACATTACTACAAATTTGAGGATGTCACTTTCTTTGTCAGGTGGAATACAGAGAGATTCTGGTAATTTAGAGAGGAACGATAAATACTGAGCCAGTGCACGACAGAGTCTCATCGAAGTCTGATACATCATCCTGTCTCCTATAAAATAAAATGTCAGGGTGAAATCTAGAAGCTTGAAATAAAAACTATCATGGTTAACATTTTCTTTAACAGATAAATAAAATTTGGGCAAGGTATTTTACTTATGAGAATCTTTGATCCCATTAGAAAACTGACATCATGATAACATTGTTATACAGTATGATCAAGAGAAAAAGGCCATTATTTTGTATTACCAAAAATATCGCTTAGTTTGCTCCAATAGGCTGAAGTCTCAGTTGGCTGCAATGGCTGAAAAACCTGATGGATGGCAGGAAGTTCTTGGACAAAGGTAGACACGTGATCTAGAGTTACTCTACGGGCAGTTTCAAAGAGGTTGCTCTTCTGGTCTTCTGAGATTTCATTCATGCCAAGGCTTAAACAGGGAGCTAACAAGCTTAAATTAAACTCCTGAAATAATAAATGGTAGACAAAAGTTTAGAAAGAACGCATTTCCATAGAGAAAAGAAACTAAAGCATTTGGGTAATACTATGCAAATTAAAATGGAAGAACCATTGTGATTGCCACAGTTAAGGGTTGTGTTTGGTTTCACACTGAAAACTGAACTCCAACTTTACATTGTGTGGAAAATCTGTCCCAAATTATCTGCACCTAATCAGAATAAAACTAAAGATTTCTGTTGAGTTTTAACTTATGAGAAATTGGAAAGTAATCACTCTATAAATGGGAAGCTGAAACAGAGAGGTAAGTCAAAAAGTATCCGCTAATTTTGGGTGTCTAATTTGAAATGCCAGGACTTTATCTGAGAATTCCCATTGGCCAGGAGAGAGCTCCACAGCATGCAGCTTGAGCAGGATTTACCCATGCAGGGCATAGCTAGAACACAGTGAGCTGGGTAGTGATGACTGGAATGTGTTGTGGGCAGACCCACAAAGTATGCATCAGAAACCCCAAATGATTCCATGTTGGCTCCCAGGTGAGAAAGGGAGGGAGAGAAAGAGGGAGCGCACACGATGGGGGAAGAGATCAGAAAGAAGGTAGTAATTAAGACTAAGGTTTAGTCATGGGAATAGTACAATTATAGATATATCATGGGCAATACACAAAAGTTCACAGCCAGAAACCTGACCATGACTTGTACTATAAATACCTATGACTAAATCTTAGGTGCTCTGACGAGTTCTGGGGTGCTGGTGTTGCTGCTCTGTGGGTGGGGAGAAGGAGCTCAGGGGTGCTGCTGGTGTTGCTGCTCTGTGGGTGGGGAGAAGGAGCTCAGGGGTGCTGCTGCTGTTGTGGGGGGGAATGCCCTGGGGTGCCACTGATACTTCAGTGGGGAGGGGTGTTCTTTGCGCTGCTGGTGCTCATGGGGCAACCTGGGGCACAGTTGGTGTTTGAGATGGGGGAGGAAGGGTGATGAGACAGCCAGGGGCACTACAGCTGCTGCCAAAGTTATGGAGGTCCTGGAAAGTCATAGAACCCGTGACTTCTGTGATATACTTGCAGGCTTAATAATTAATCCATTTGACTATGCAGAGCACCAACGTGCTATTTTAGTAGTTCAAACTCAGTAAAATGCCAAAGTCAAACAGTATTAAGTAAAACTGAAAGAATTTTAATTCATTTTTTAACAATCTAACTTGGCCATTATTAGTAACATGAATGGAGAGACAGTTTTAAAAATTTTACAATTTTTAAAAAATATTTTAAGCAAGTGACATTTTAAATTCTCCTCTTTTCAAGAAATTACCTTATTGGTCATGAAGGAGTTCAATTCAGGCTGAGGTATCCTATTCACCAGCTCTGTACCTTCAAGCAGTGCAGAGTCAGACCTGACCCAGCACTGTGATCTGACTAGTGATACATACCAATCCTTCAATGAAATTTACTACATATTTACTTTTGGCAGAATTAGAAAATAGTCCAATTTTGTTCTACCCTCTAATTAGCACGCTAAACGATTATCCCTTTCCTAGTTCACAATTACTGGATTAACCATACCTACTTCTATCTGTGGAGACAAAGCTGTATATATTTTGATTTAAGCCCTGAATTTGGTTCCTCTAAGACAGTGATTCCCAAATGGTGTTCGGCGGAACCCTGGCGTTCTGCAAAGTGAAAATAAGGGTTCTGCAAGAAAATTCCATTACAATAACATTTTTTAAATAATATTTAAGTGTTTATTAATTTTACTAAAAACAATTTTCATTTGTTTGCGCCACGATAAGTGTCCCTGGGTAATGCCAGCTTAGCCAGAGAGTGGGAATGATGATGTCATTACTCAGTGCTGATGTCCATTTATTGGACTGTTATTAGGGGTTCCGCAAAATTCTTTTGAGTTTAAGAATGGCCAAATAAAATTGGGAAACACTGCTCTAAGAGACTAGTTGGCAAAACTTCCAAAGCATAAGAGGGCTAGTAAACAAAATAATCAAAACACAAAGCAAAAAAGAGTACATGAAGTTACTCAACAGACCCTCATCATAATAGACTAATTTCACAAAATTCATCTATTTTTTGGCAAGCGTTCTTATGCCAATCCAGAACTTCTGGAAAATAGCAAAGAGAGGGAAAAGATAGGTGCTAATAAACAGCATGTAACACATTAGGACCCTAAACCAGACTGGGTCACCCAGGTACCAATGTATAAAAAGACGACAAGCCATGTGAGAAAAAATTAGAATTATATGCAAAATTATATGCATTTTTTAACATTCAGAAAGAAAGCCCACACAATCAAACAGAAGATAGCTTTTACTTAGTAACGCTTAGTAAATGGAATATGGACCAAGTCCTAAGATGCCATGTTTCCCCATTATAAAATATCTAGGTATCTAGTGGGGTGAGGCTTCTGACCTGAGCGGAAAACTTGTGGAAAACTACAATTCGACCACCTCCCTAGGTAACCCATTCCAGCACTTCACCACCCACCCTCCTAATGAAATAGTTTTTTCCTAATATCCAACCTAGACCTCCCCCACTGCAAGTTGAGGCCATTGCTCCTTTCTTCGTCACTTGCCACCACTGAGACCAGCCAAGATCTATCCCTTTTTTAACCCAAGATCTAAACCCTTTTTCAGGTTTTTCTTCGTATCATCTGTCATTAGGTTGTCTTCCCCAATCAGTGTAAGTCCCACACTTCCTCTGATGTTCTTTTTGTTGCTAACATGCATGTAAAAACCCTTCTTGCTATTCTTCACATCCCTTGCTAGCTGAATCGCCAATTGCACTTTGGACTTCCTGATGATGCTCTGGCATCCTTAAGGAATATTTTGATACTCCTCTCTAGTCATTTGTCCAAGTGTCTACTTCTTGTAGGTTTCCGTTTTGCACTTAAGCTCACTAAAGATTTCCATGTTAAGCCAAGCTGGTTGCCTGCCATGTTAGCTGTTCTTTCTGCACATTGGGAAGGTATGCTCCTGTGCCTTCAATAAAGCTTCTTGTTCCAATTTACTACAAACCCAAGGGAAGATCGTTTAATTGGGAACCAAAGGAGTGTAGGATTGAGGTGTTCAGGAGGTGCCTGAGCTGATGGAACCAAGATCACTTCATTTTCCTCCTTTGCCTCTATAGTGGAGTCAAACTGCAGACATGAAGAATAGTTAGTAAGTAGACTTCTGTGCCACAAAGAGACGTGGAGCTGCACAGATGTCCCAATAGTAAGTGGATCAGATCTTGTTGAGTAGGATGCAGTTTTCGATAAGACCAAATCATGCTAGCCTCAAGGCTGCTAAAAAAACTCTTATAGGACATGAACACTCTAGGTTGACAGAAGACTGCAAAGAAAGAAGCAGATGGTAAACTAAAGCCTAAATAAGATATTGGCTGTTGGAAGCCAGAAATTTTGTGGGCATGTTAAACCAATGACTAAACTGGGAAATGATCTGAAGCAAAGAAGAACACCCGCAGAAAATAAGGTCTTCAGAAGTAAACAAGACTGTAAGACAGAGCAAAAGCACAGCTGAGGAGGTTGGAGAAGAGAGAGAAGGTATCTATAAGTCTCTTAAGGAACAAGTAAACAGTTCTGAAATAGCAAAGGAACACTGAATACAAAACAATCTTTTTCGCTGAGACATAATATGCATCTCCATCTATATTACAGGCCAGAAAAGTTGCAATTTTAAGAACTGCAAAAACAGGAGGTTTATCATAGCTTGATATAAATATATGTGCATATTATTTGGTTAGCTACAAAACTTAAGAATAGGTAGCTAACCTTTTATACCAGGTTATTCAGATTTGTAAACAGAAAAACAACTGGGAATTTTAAAAAGCTGCATTCACAGATATGTTTCACTAATGGAAAAGCTTGTTAGGAAAATACATTTGCTGTCTGATCTTATTAAATATTCTAAATATGGCCTTACTTTGTCTGGAATTATGTTCTCTAAGGCTGATTGGTTTTCCCCATCCAGTGGGTGTGTAGTAACCAAAGGCGAAGGGCTAGTTGTTTCTGGTGCTACTGTAAGGCGAAACCTGTCCAACAGCGAGTAAAGTCTTTGGTGTCTGAAAATAGATACACACTCATCAGAAAATTTGAATTTTAAAAGGAGAAAGATACAGAAATTACAGGTAAGGCACATATTCTATAAATACTTTCAACATATAATAATGTGCAAGAAAGATAATTACTAGTTCCACATGCCACAGACAGTGAATTTTTCAAGTTAGTTTTACATCAAGGAGAGAGAGAGACTTAATCCAAAATTTTAAATCACTACCTTCAAGCTAAATGGTCTTTAAAAGTTGATCAGGAGTAGAGAGAAGTATTTTATCCCAAAGTCATTATTTATTTTAGAAAAGTGGTTCTCAAGTATTTGTACTGGTGACTAGTGTTCCCTCTAAGCTACGCGGAAACACAGCTTCATAGGTGATTAATCAGCCCTGCCCAGTCAGTCAGTTCTGTTCTTGGAGCCCTGAGCCTGCTTATGACCCCTTTACACAGCAAGTGTCTAAGTGCAACCCCTCCCGCTTACACATTTTGTTATTAGGTTGATAATGTTCCAGCCATCTGTTATCTCGACTAAGGAGGCCATCAGTGTGAGAATTGAATTTGTAGATGAATTGTAAAAGCTCTTTGTCTGGAACATCCGTTAAGAGAGGTTCAACCTGTACTACCCATTTGCTGAAGGAGGCAGGTCATTACATGGCTTTAGCTTAAAGAGACAAAATGGTCATTACTGGCTAACTGGGAAATCTACATGGTTCACCATCTCAGCCAGTATTCAAGTTTTAGGTTTGGTCTCAATTTATAAGTTAGAGCTGCCTCAAATAGGAGCTTTGGCAAGACAGAGAACAAAATGGTACTTGATAGACCAGACCGTTCAGGTGATCACCACTTTTTCTTCACGGGACAAAGAGAGGAAAAAAGGTAACGAATTTTTCATAACTACTGTTCTCTGAAATGTGGCACACATGCCCATTCCACTCCATATATGGTCACACCTCACACAATCACAAGAAATTTCCCCCTCACTGGTACCCACTGAAGCACCTTATGCATCTTCTGCTGCCATGCATCAGTGATGCAAGTAATTAAGGGTCCAACTGACCCCAAGGCCTCTCAGTTCCTTCTTCTGAAAACTCATGTAGAGGGGCAGAAGGGCAGGTTGCAGAAAGGACATAAGACATGTTAGTAACCATTTCTTCTTCAAGTGACTACACATGTGCATTCAATTCTTGGTGATTCCCAAGCAGCTAAATAGGTGAAAGAATCAGACTTCCATAAACACACAACCAGCTTGGTAGTACCATTTGACCAAGTTTAGCATCACCTCTTGAGTACTGGACAATGGTGTAATGAGAGGAAAAAGAGTACACTGATGACCAGGCTGCTGTTTTATAAATAGGCAGGATAGGGGTCTGTGCAAGGAATGACACTGAGGCTGCTTATGATGTTGGGGAGAAAGCAAGAAGCTAGCAAAATGGAGAAACCCTTTCATTATGTCTGCAATAGCCACCAACAGTTGGGTAAAACACCAAGATGGTTTGATCCTACTAATGATGTTAAATATTGACTAATTGAATAGTCTATGCATTGTGCATTGACTATTTGATTAGTCGATAGGCCGCTTCAACCCTAGGGCTGTTGCTACACTTCAAAGGCAAAAGCGCCACACGGAGCCTGGGATCAGCTGGGAACTCCTCCGTGGAGACCAGTCTCCTCTGGTGCTGCACCTTTGAAATGCCGCATGAAGCCTGGGGACACCCCAGCTGGCCCCAGGCTGCATGTAGTGTTTGAAAGCAGAAATACTATGTGGAGTCCGGGGTCTGGCCCAGGACTCCAAGTGGCACTGCTGCTTTGAAGTACCCTCTCCATTCCCTCCACACATACACACCCTGCTTGCTGCCCCTTTCTAATAGAGGTAGCAAGGGTTGGGGGAGTGACTAGTCCTTCACATCTCTAGGTCCTACCCATTGAGAATGCCAGTGTTCATCCCGCCTTCAATGAATATAGCTATTGGTCAACCCTATTTGCATGTGGTTTGAGGCAAAACCATGTAACTCAACTGATTTTTACAAAACAAAAGGAAAAGTGTACAGTGAGCAAAGATGATTGAAAACTTTAAATTCCAACTCATATCCATGAGTAGTGAAAAATAAATGAGAGATGAGTACGGTCACCCTGCTTTTTATATTCTCTATTGGAGGATGGAGAACACTCAGGGAGCATATATAAACTGCAAGAGATATTGCTGGACAGAAAATCCAAACTCAAGGGCATTAGGCATACACATAACAATGGAATACATGTGGACAAGAACTCAAAGAAGAATTGTGGGATATTTTTTGGGGGAGGGGAGGGGAAATTTGCTTTGTTAATAACACAGGGGAGACATTTATCTGCATTAGAACTAAACACTGTTTTCTTTACAGAGGTATTTACGTTGTTCAGTGAAAGAGAATGAACTAAAACTGCTGATAAGCAGTGTCAAGGCTCTGAACTTAAGAACATTCTGTAGTGTTCCATATGGAATTTGAAGACTATTACAATTCAAACAGAGCTTCAAATTACCAGAGCTTTTAATAATTTTTATAACAAGTTTAAATGCTTAGTTCTTCTGATACATTCCACCCCCAAAATAAGTAGAAACTAGTTTATATTTTACTTGTTAATGCTCTGAATGCTACAGAAGGCATGCTCAAGCAATACAAAAAAGGCATAGCTTATGGTGTGTTGCAGCAAGAGATCAAACTTGTCTTATCTGCCAAGCAGATAATTTTTCTGGCATACACTTTGTTTCCATAGGAAGAAATTCAGAAACTGTCTCCAAACGTGCCCGGATACTCTTGACTGACACTGACACTGACACACACGACAGAAAGCACATAATTGACAATACTGGTCATGAGTCTTACAAAATTTCTGAAGATTCAACTTAGATATTTTTTGCTTTTACTATTACTTTATTAATAATAAAGTATACATCACAAGCCATGTTGGGAGCTGTATTATGGAACAAGTCTTGTTAAATAAGCTTATCTCAATACAAGCAAGAGATAACAATATTACATTCTTTTTAGCAAACCATTTTATAGTCCTCAGCCTTAGCTACCTTCCTCCCCGCCACCTCTTTCCCCCAGGATACAATAAACCACTACTGAAGGCAACAGGGTATTCTTAACCAACAATCATGAGGAGCCATATCAATCAGGCTCCTGATACTTACAAAGCTGTACCCAAATAAACAATACTAACAATGTGAATCCTTCTACACAAGCAAGATTAAACTGTTCAATGTAGGTAGGAGACTAGTGTGCTCATGTGATAAAATGATCTGGATTTTCTCTGATCTATTTGTCTTCCAAATTCTCTATGAAAATTAAAATCACTATTACGAATTTAGTCTTTCCAAGGGACTGATTTACTGAAGGTTGGGGATTGCATCAACCCTATATTATAGCAGGCCAGCAGAAAATATCCTTGGAGACCTGCAGGTTTTGCTGTTTTAAATTGAATCTAAACTAAAAATTTTACTCTGTCAAGGCATATGGTTATGCCTAAGAAAACTACAATATGGTTTCAATCTTGCAGTACAAAGAGGGCTTTATCATATTTTAATTACGTATTCAAGGCATGGCAAATCTTTGTATGCCTCCACCTATACAGACTGTGATGGCGTTTTCTGGGTGCGAGCACCTCACCCCTTCTCCCCCCAGCCGATCCTGGCCCTAGTCTGGGGAGGGGGCGGGGCCCAGCGTACCCACCACCTCAATTGGACTCTTTGGTCGCCCCACCCGGGGTCTTGGTAGTAGTGTCTAGTTGCGGGGGGAGATCACCCCTCAGCTCCCTGAGGGACTGAGGGGGCTCGGCGACCCCTTCGTCGGTCTTTCCTGCTCCTCGACTTGGCGGAGTAGGAGAGGGTTGTGAAGGGGAAGGGGAGTGGGGGACCCGGGCCCTCCCTCACCTCCGGGTCCCAGCCCGAGGCCCTAAGCGGAGGTCAGCGACCGGTTGTCGCCCTCCGCGGCAGACGGGGCTGCGGCCCTCAACTCGTCTGCCCACGGGCGCCAAAAGGGTCCCGCCTCGGGCTCCTTCCACTCCCCGCTGACTTGTCCCGCTGGCGGAACAAGTTCAGGGTCACTCACCACGTCGGAGTCATCGGGCCCGTCCCAGGGCGAGCCGCCAGCTGCCGAGTCCTTCCCTCCGGGTTGCCCCGAGGGATGGGGGTTTGGTGCTCCTGGACGCCAGGGCGCCCGCAGCTGCACTCTCCCCCTTCTTGCCGGGCCGCTCCCGGCTGTTATGGGCGCCGGGGGATGACGTCGGGGTGGTAAGCTCCGCCCCCTCGGTGCCGCCCCCCCCACGGGCGTCCCG